TTTCGATTTATCAGTCTTTAACTCAATCAAAAAGGATTCTCGATTTGCTCCCATTTGTTTCTCAATCCCTTTATCGATTTCCCACTAACACAATGGAATAATATATATAATATACAATTAAGCTTGAAGAAAAAAGAAAATGAAGAAAAGAAAAGGTAGTGAGTGTAATCTGTTTTGAGGTGAGGGAGGCAGAATCCTAGGTATTTGATTCCTGGGTTGGGGTATAAATGTCACTTGCCATGTTCTTTGACATGCACACATGCAACATAATTAATTGATTTTCGAGTGGCGCAATTTCATCTACTGCCACATAATTCCCCTTGTATATATTGTCGACGAACGTATTTTAACATCACTTTAAAAAATTCATATATTAGATAATTTTTTATTAATATTATATTTATAAAATGATTAAATTAAAATAAAGTTAATTAAGAATTATTATTTTATTAATAAATTAAGTTGTTGATGGATTATATGAAAATTTTGAATTTTTCATAAATATTTTTGCTATATTATCTTTTTAGTATTCATTCTATTTCATATTACATATATTAAGAATTTGTTTAAAAAATATTTTAAAAGTAATAAAATTTTGATTATCAAAATAATAATTCATACTTATATTATACCTATTTCTGAAATGTTATTATTAAATCTAAAAATTACAAAAACTTAAAAAAATAATTGAGATAAAAAAGACATGAGATGAATAAGTGTAATAATCAAGAAAAATATATTATTATCTACACAGAAAAATAATCATTATTAAATTTTTAAAAATATCATAATATTGATAAATTAAGAATCAAGAAATAAAAAATAAAAAAAATAAAAAACATCAACACATATGTTTTGAGAATAAGTTATACTGGATTATCTTATAAAGACAGTTAAAAAATAAACTCATTAAAATATGTAAATTACAAATATGTATCGGTAAGGTCAAGTAGTTACAATAAAATAACTATTCAAAAATTATATTTTATAGTTTTATTTTATTTTTTTTTAATTTATTTTTTGTGGTTATAAAAGATAATATATATAAAATAAAATAAATGTAACAAAGAAATTGTAAAATTATACAACTTGTATTCTAAAAAGATACTACAAACTAAAAAAAATATTTTTAATGTAATTTTTTTAATTTGAATCACTATTTTTGTTAAATTTCTATTTTATTGTTAGAAATAGGTTAGATTTATTATTCTACTACTTAATTTCTTGCATATTCATATTTAAATAATTTATTTTTTACAATTTTTTTATTACTCTTCCGAAATTACTTTAAATATTTCAAGTTATATTAAATATAAAAATTAATTTCGCACAATCTTTACTTAAAATATAATCTACTAAATTTTAAATAAAATTAAGATCTCACCTAATATTTAAATAATTTATATTGTAAATTTAATAATTATATCTATCAGTGAGTTATTTACATTAGAAATAATTATAAAAAAATAAATACTTTACTGGATTAGCGTCATTTCACTTATGTACATATAAACTCAAATTTAAATAAAATTAACTAGTGAAGTTCATTTAATATTTTTGTTTTGTATACAATAAAAATATGTATATTTTTCTTAATTATATTTAAGTCAACTTTAAATATAAGGACATATTTGAAATAATAACATTAAATAACGTTTAGGAAATTCATTTATATTTAAATTAACCAAATATTATTTTTTTATTGTTTATATTTAAATATAAAGGGGTATTTTATTTTATGCGTGTTCATTATTTAAAATGAATTATGTGAGATAAAGAAGTAGCATAAAAAAAATCAAATTTTTTTATTTCCATGGAAAAACGTCATTTCACCACCACGACAGTTTGTTGATGTCAATGAAAAATTTAAAATAGTTTGAAATGTGTATTGCGACTAAAAAAATTTTTAAAAATTAAATCCAATCACGATCGTTTCAAGAATACCCTAAATGGTTCTTAATTATAAAAGACATAGAAGGAAATCAATCGAATTAAAACATTTTGGTACGTCAGTGTCCGTGACAACAACAACTTTTTTTATTTTGAATTTTCTAAACGATGAGAGCGTCGTGGCTTTCCACCAATTATGTGTAATTCATTTTTAGAATGATTAAATTAGCGTAATTTTGAAAAAAAGTTATCAATTTCACGAAAACGATATATTTTTAAAATCACGCAAACAATTTATAAAAAGGTTTAATCTCTTATTTATGAAATTGGATTGATCTCATTTATAATTTTGTCTTCTTAAAAAAAACTACATTAATTCCTCCATTTAAGCAAATTATACGTGTAAAACTAATAAAAAACGATGGTAGAGAATTTAATAAATAAAAATATTGTTATTTGTAGATTAAAAATAAAAAGATATTAAGTAATAGTAGAAAAAAAAATGGTTAGAATAAGAAGGTAGAGAAGAGATAGGGGTTGTTGTGGGGAAGGAAAGGTCCCAAATAGGCATGAGGAAAGGGTTATTCGGATATGTAATGATTTAAAATAAAATGGTGCATGTCGATCCTTCGTTCAACTCTGCGACTCATTCCCAACTCTGGTCGACAACAATGGTAGGTCCTTTCTCCATGTGCCATTCATATGCTTCATGTCTCGCACAATTCACATCCACTACGCTATCACCTTTTTTTTTTTCTCTTCTCTTCTTCCATCCAACTTATTACTATTTCAAATCCTCGCACTTTTTCAAAATTTAATTAATTCCTTTCGAGATTATTCACATAGTGTAGAATCTCAATTGGGATAAGTCCTTGTTCTTGTTTCTGATTTTAAGTCATGATGTTGTCCCTTGTGTTCCTATCTGTTCTCTGCAAAAACTTTTTCTTTTTTTCTCAGATTTTGACACAGCCTGTGTCAAAAATCTGTTTTTCCTTAATCAATTAAATTGAATAACTACTTATCTTACACGTGCAATCAATTAATAGGTATGTGATCTAACTTGTAATCAATTTTAAAATTTTATTTATAATACATTTATTTTATATCATTATTTGTATTAAAACACATACAATGTTGCATACCTCAATTAAAATCCTAGTACAATTTAAAAGAATTTTTATACAATTTTATATTTTCTCTTAATATTTTAATAAATGTAATATAATTTTTAAGAAATTAATATAACATTTTTGAAAATATTTCTGTACTAACCTTTTACAGTTTTGTAAATTTAAAATCTTTGTTCTGTCAATTAATATTCTGCGAATTCGTATAAAGAACATTCTGGAAGAACTGAAACATCCATTGGGTATATGGGTTTCTAATGAATCATTCATTCGACCCATATAATTATGGACCTAACATGCTACTTGGTCCGTTTAGTTTGTTGGTTAGATAGGTTTGGTCCATTTATTTTACACAAAATAAAAAAATACATTATAATTATTTTTATGTATTTTTATATAAAAATATAATAAATTAAGAAATATATCTTATGCAAGCAAGCAAGAATAATATCTTATTAATTAACATTTAATAATTAATCTAGCTTTTACTTTAATATAGTAATTAAAAAATTAGTTTCATTAAAAAACAAATCATGCAACCGACCCACGAATCACTCGCAAATATGGGCCAATTATTATTACACTGGCCCGTTTATATACGCTTTGACTAGGTCAGACTGTCTTACGTGGCATACATGCGGATGTGTCAAATCATTTTTATCTACAATTATTGAAGTTGGTTGAATTATTAATTTGGATATCACCTTAAGATTGTTTCATTCTAAAGAGTAATTTGATCAACTACTACGATTTCAAGAAATCAAATTAGTCATTGATTTATTTGTTGATGTGATTTTTTTATGAATAACTAAATTTTTATTATAAATATGACAAATTTATGCATCTTTGTCAAACTTTGAAATCAATAAAAGTTGTTGGCGAGTATGATATAACAATATTTTTTATAAAAAATTATCATATCTATATTTTTTTTATATTAGATAAAAAATACATTAACCGATTCAATAATGACAAAAAAAAAATAGTGAATGCTCTATTTTGTGAAGAGTTTTCTCACATATAATTAATGTGTCTTTAATCAAAATTCACAAAAAAATGTTCTTTCATTATGAGACAATATTGCTTCATATGTTTTGGTATTTTCTTAACTTGGGTCGGTGTTGATACTACACTCAATTAGTAAAAAGATACATAAAAGGAAAATTTAATAAAAAAAGTTGTTTTTAATGAATATCGGATGAATGTTAATGGTTAAAGAATAATTATGTATTTAAAACATATTAAAATCATTACATAGTATTGCATTGAAAGTCACATCAAGGAGTGTTACACACTTTCTTTTAATCTCATTATAATATTCCTAAAAATCTTTCCTACATATGTTGTTGATCGAGTATCCTTTGTGTGCGTATTTAGGAAGCAAGATTCCTTCAAAATGGTGCTTGGTGGAGGTTACACAAGTTTAGAAATCTTGCATGGAAGGTTAAAGTTCTGTTTTTGGAAACTTTTTCTTTCATTCCCATTGTGATATCTTTAATAGCTTTGTCTGCTGTGGTCACGAGGGACACCTGTTGCATGAATTCATACAACTTAGAACTTTCTTGGTTAAACTTCTGCTGGCAAGGTTTATGCACTACTTATTATTATCCATTGACGGAATGAAAAATCTAAGGGATGAAATTGTTAACGTGTTGGTCTTTGTGTTAATAAAAATGAATTTGTTTCATAAAATCATAGTAACAACATACTACAATGATATAAAAACTTATGACGTACAATGAATGAATGAATGAATGGTGGATCCGACGTGGGAGAATCTGTCACAGATCCGTCTTGTCCATGTCCTCAGGTTGCAGTCATGGAACGTAACAAATCTAGTAGAAGATCTAGCTTGACATAGGCATGCATATAATAAAACCAGTGATTTAATTAATGATATGTTATGCAAATACATAAGGTACCAGACCATGAGTCTGCATAAAGAGCAGTAAATATATATATATATATATATATAGACACATTTTAAACATGCTGGGCCAGATGCCAAGAATCGATTCCGATATGAGCAGCATCTATCACCTGCTGCAACCCTACCCTATTAAAGGCTGTTGAATTTGACATGTCCTTAGCTTCAGCATTTGCACCTCCTGAGAATCCCATCAGCCCAGCATCCACCTCAACATCAGGAAAAGGGTTTTGGAAATTACTTTGATTTTGGTTCAACTTGTTCACCCACCGCAAGTTACTAGCGTCATCTTGTAATGGGTACTGATAGAATGCTGCAGCCTCCTCCGATTTGATTACTTTTGGAACGGTTTTTTCCTTGGCCTTGAGAATGCAGTTTTGTTGTGAGAGGTGGAGGGGCTTGAAGAATAGGTCAGAAAATGATGGATGATGGTCGTTGGTGAGTTCTGGCGATGCATGCACTGGGAAAAGATAAGGGTGAGAGTGAGAGAGGTGATTTTGGTCTTGGTGGTGGTGAATGAGAACCGGGCTTTGGGATTGACATTCTAGTTCCAATGCGAAGGAAGTTGGGCTTGCAAGCAAAGGAGGAGGTAAAGAATTTTTTGCTGGGGAGGAAGAAACATCTGAATGTCCTTGGACTTGGAGCAGTGGAGTCTTCTTTTCCCCGGATTTATGAAATATCCTGCATATCACCCACTCCTCCTGCCAAAAAGAAACATTGGAACTATAATCAACGTGTGCTAGAGATTGTTTAACTAATGGGGATTCGCAGTTTCACAGGTTGGTAGTAACAAAAATCAATTCAATCGATCACATCGAAAGAACCACCGGCAAGGTTAATAATTAATTGTGCAGGGAAGTGAAAAGGGTGATGTTTGGTTGGTGAAAAGGAAAAGACATGGTGCCATACTGTACACGTAGGTGGGTCAACCCAGTAGCAGACAAAGTTTAGGAGGGAGTAGGAATGGGAGCAGAGAGGGAGGGGAGATAACTTGATTCGCACGGTGCACGTGCCATAGATTCTGCATTGTAAAATATTATTAACAACATTTTTGAAACGATTGAAATTTCAAATGTCTATTAATGAGAAAGTACCATAGAAGATGAAACTTCAGACGTGATTAGAAAGTATGAAGAAAAACATAACAACCATTCAGAACAGAATCCTCTAAATTTGATCATTGATTCCGTACCTTGGAGATGTGATGAGGATGAGGGTGAGGGTGAGGGTGGGGAAGGGAAAAGTCACCGTCCAAACGGTACTCGTGCATGACCCATTTGGTCTTTTCTCCACGAGGGGCCCTACCTTTGTAGAAAACAAGGGTCTTCTTCATTCCAAGTAGGGTGCCACTTGATGCACTGAACACTTCCTTGTCCTTCCCAGTGGCTTTCCAGTATCCAGCTCCGGTGGCCCTGTTTGTTCTAAGTCCAGTTGGGTATTTTCTGTCCCTCAAGCTGAACAGATACCACTCTCTCTCCCCCATCTTTGCCACATCTGTCTCCACACCCAACATTACTAACATCAATCAATACTCAATATTATATATGCATATAAAAAAAGTCACATTTCTATCTGGGCATAAGGGTGATGCAATAGTTTTTCTTCTACCTCTAATTAGTATGTTGGAGGGATTAAACCCTTGGGACAAAACATAAAATTAATGGTGGAGTTGCGATTACATAGGAGCCATATATTAGCAAAAACATAGAATGAACATCTAGCTAGAGAAGGTAATTAATAAGTGAAAAATACTTGCTTAAATTTTTTCAAAACCTTCTCCGAGTTTTATAACTGTCCACTCTCGATCGTTCAGCACACAAATTAGCGACAGGAAAGACAATAAGAAGATCCAAAGCGGGGAAGGTGATGACGCCATTAAAAATTCGAGGTGACATGCTAGTGGATAGCCCACAATATGTCTTAGCTTCACGAATTAACCTAAATATAAAGCCAAAGACAGCAATAACTGTAACTAATAATAAGATATAACATACGTACATGTACCTAATTAGTAAAACTCCAATACATCATCTTACTCTAAACAGACTTAAAATATTCTCTACTGTGTCTCCATTAAGTAACTATTTTCTTTTTCTCTTTTAATCTCGTTCATGAAACTCAACGTGCACACCCTTCTTCTGAGGGTTTGGGCAAGAGAGTGTATGCCATACCTGGAAGTTCCCAAGGCTCACATCTATTGAGGTCAACCTCAGCGAACTTGACACTAGTGAAGCTCCCATTAAACACCTTTGAAGCCAAGTAAAAGGTAACAAGTTCTTCATCAGTGGGGTGAAACCTAAAACCCGGTGGCAGGCCTTGCTCGTTATTCTTTTCATGATCTCTGAGCTCACACAACAGCTCCTCCATTGCCAGCATGTCCTCCTCAACAATCAACTCAAACCTTTTCTTTTTTATACAAAGAAAAGTGGAAAGATTCAACCGATAGCTAGCTATAAGAAGAGGAAAACATTTGATGAGGTAAAGGGGTTGGAGTGAGATATATAATGAATGTGATAAAGGGAGTTCTGAAAACGAGGGGAGTAGATTGATACCAGCAGGTGAACAGGTATACGTATGAACCTTAACGTGGACACACAGTACAGAACCAAAATTTCGAATGAGTAAATCAGTCAAAAACTGGAGAGGAGGATAGTTATATATCTTTGGTAGTGAGGTACTAACTCAAATACCAGTAATTAAAACTAGTATTTACCGAATGTTGTTAAACAAAACTAAGAATGAATAAATAATAATAATAATAATAATAATAAAAACAAAACTAAGGCACTCGTTACCATATTGTTTCATAAGAGAAATTGTTTTAGTTATATTAAAGAGAGATAGGAAATGAAAAGATAAAAGCGTGAGAAAAAATGGATAATGCAATGAAAAACTATAATGAATATCATAGAAAGTATTGTACAAAATAATATATGAATGGTAAATCTCATTCAAAATATTAGTTATTATCGTACTGCAGTAAACTGAAAAGAAAAAAAAAAGTTCCCTGTCTTTCCTCGATCAAAAAATGAGATTGAATAACTATCTATTTAAAATGATGTTAGCAGTATAAATCTATTCATTAATTTATACAATTTTGGTATTGATACATTAAAAGTTAACACAAGCTGTCTAAATAAAGTAAATAAAATAGGTCCACATTTGAAAACTCGCTCTAAATTGAAGTGGTCCACTAAAGATAAGGTTCTTTAACTCCATTTTTTGTTTTTCTCTGAAATTTTGGCTGAAGTAGCTAAACAATGGTTTTGACAACGGAAGTTAGCAAAACTATAAATAAAATTTAAATGGATAGTTTCGAAGGTGATTGTTTACGGGATAAAGCAAGGAGTGCATTAAATGCAAGGGTAGTAGCACAGTTTAAGTAATTCCTTTGATTTGTTGCAATATATGGAAATGGGGTCGAATGCAGTGTCAGGATTCAACTCAGAAAGAAGGGATAAGATAAGATGGCCTCACACATGGCCTATAGTTTGTCTTGATCTTTTAAGAGCTGAGTGAAAAAGAGTTGAAGATTGAGTTAATTGATTATACAAGATCAAACCGAAGGAGTAGTTTGGTTAAATTCATCATGAAAACACAGAAGGTGAAAACTTTAATATGATTAGTAGTAGAGTAAATGATTGTGGTTGGTTGGCACCAAATAGGGAATAGCTACTCCCTGAGGCCTTGTGTGGTGTAGGTAGGTAGGTAGATAGTAAGTGGTAAACTGTAACAGTAGAAATAGAATGCAGCAGAGAGAGAGAGAGAGAGAGAGGTGGAAGTACTGTACTCCATTGTTATTAATTGAAACAAAATAGAGAGTGCACGTGCATATGATATGCATTATAATACAAATTAGTGTGAGATAATAATGGAGTAGTATATGAAACAAGCATCAAACAAGAGAAGAATGGTGCAGGTGCAGGTGCAGGTGCAGTTGCATGTGCATGTGCGTAGCTTAGATCTTAGTGAGTCGGGCAAGTAAAAGATAACAGCAGCAGAACAAGAATCCAATACGCCATAGGCTACAGTATATGTAGGTTACATAAGCCTATGGTCTTAGCCCCTGGACCTTCTCTGTGTTCTGAGTTTTCATAATAATATCTTACCTTCTTTTTCTTCTCTTTCTTTCTCCCATCCTATTATTATCCTTCTTTCAATCAATATGCACATATCCCCACCCTCTCCTACCTCAATACTATACCTTCTTCTTCACTCCACACTGCTCCTTCCATACACTAATATTTATGGTGCCTTCCATAATTCATTCATTCATTACTTTTAAACCCACCTAATTTACTTTACTCTTGCACTATTTTTACCCTAGTTTTCCATGTATGCATAAACATATCCGTCTCCAATTTATACCATTGGAAGATAGAAATTCAAAAAATGATATTTGAATAACATCTGAGAAAGAAAAAGAAATTCTTCCGTACGGCTATATACAAGAATGGGTAACCGTTAGGACTTAGGATATGCAAGAAACAAGTTAGCGTATAAAGTAGAGATGCACGTACACTGCACCTACCCTCTGTTATCATAACTTGGGCCCTATTTCTTCAACCATTCACACAGACCAAACATACCGACCGAAACCGCAATAATAACAAGATAAACATTCAAGGCAAAAAAACACTCCAGATTAAATATATTGAGAACATTTTTTTTTAAATAATCTTATTTATCGAGAAATAAATTAATGGTTAAATTTAGACATAAAAGAAAGGGTGACTTTATCCTACTAAATCAAATTTGTGGTCTTGATTTTAAAATTAATTATTGAATCAAACTTTTGAATAGACTTATAGTTTAAGTCGAACTTTTTTTTACGCATGATCATTCCTTAAATAGTTTTCAAAATTAAAGTTTTATCTGATTAACTTGCTAACTTGACCTATACACACATCACATAATTTCAATTTTTTTCTTTCTAATACTGAGGACTCGAGGGATTTAATTTAATAGAGTAAGTGTCAATTGAAGGAGATCAAGATATATAATACATGAAAATATTACCCGCACGAGTTCAAATTTAAATGTCATTAAGATATCTTCAAATTTAAATCTTATGGTTGTTTTATATGTATGATCAATCAAGTTTTCTATTATATAATATATTTTTTTGAAAATATTTTTCTCTCATAAATACAAATATTTAGTCTCTAATACTATATTGAAGTTGTACTTTAGTATCAATAAATCCACTTGTTTTAACCATTTTATATCTCAAGAGGAAGCAATTATTTTATATAAAATGCTTCATACATTAAAAAGTCTGATTTGTGATTCCTAGGTCACATTATCACTAAGAAACTCATATTAGTTTTTCTTGAATAGATTTTTTTTTAGAAATATTTTAAAACAATTCACAATTATATATATAATTAAAACTTGATTATATGTCCCAAGAAACAACTCTACGAAGAAGCTTATAATAATAATCTAGTTTGTGCGCAAAGAAAAACCAAGATTACCATGTTGAAATGAAGATTCTGTAGGTTAGTTGTCTTACAAAAGCCAAGTTATCAAGGACTCCCCGTCCTCCAACTCGAGGGGCAGGTAATATCAGAACAACATACTCAGATATCAATAACATGAATTTGAATTTAAAATATAATGGCAGCAATTTTATATATAGAATACTCATTATATACGTACAAATTATTATTTCAAATTAAATTTCAACGATACTAAAGCATATATACAATGAATACTCATACTCATGAATAAATATAAATGACATTTAAATAGTTAATAGAACTGTTATCACCAAGTGTCTCATACATGTGAGTTGGTGTATAAAAATGATTCTTCACGTTTATAAATTGTGAAAGGCATTGCCAAATGTTTTCAAATTTATACTGAAGAAAATGAAATGAAGTTCATGTTCTAGCAATATTAAGTTTCCCCATTTTAGAAAAATCATAACTTTCTCCATTCTCCAATAAGATATATATATGTGAACGTTCTCCTACGGGAAAATGTATTCATTCATACACTATCTGGTGCCACATAATTAATGAAGGCATATTATAGTACTATGCTTTGATGTAAAGCCACCCACAAAAATATACTTGAAGACTACTACTACTCCTCAGTGTGCCATGCTATAACAATCCAAACAGACTTTACTTTAAAGTATCATCTGAAAGAGTGCACAACCTATATATACTCCTCTCTTCTCCCATTCTTCTTCATCCCTTCCCTCTTACCTTCTTCACTTGTATTCACACTTCAACAATTCTAGCCATGGCTTTCTTCTTCTCCTCCTCCACCAAGGTACTTCTTCTTGCTTGCTCCTTCTGCATATTTGCGTCTTTGGCTTTTGCCCGTGATTTCTCCATTGTGGGCTATTCATCTGAGGACTTAACTTCCATGGATAAGCTCATTGAACTCTTTGAATCGTGGATGGCAAGACACGGCAAGATTTACGAGAGCATTGAGGAGAAGCTGCTTAGGTTTGAGGTTTTCAAGGATAACCTAAAACACATAGATGAGAGGAACAAGGAGATCAGCAACTACTGGCTTGGGTTGAATGAGTTCGCTGATTTGAGCCACCAAGAGTTTAAGAACAAGTATCTTGGGCTTAAGGTTGACTACTCTAGAAGGAGAGAATCCCCAGAAGAATTCACTTACAAAGATGTTGAATTGCCAAAGTCATTGGATTGGAGAAAGAAGGGTGCCGTAACTCAAGTCAAGAACCAAGGTTCATGCGGTAAGTATATATTTGTTATCTATGCCTACACAGTACTAATTTTTGCTCAATTAAAATAGTATATTATAGAACGTGTTTTAGTGGTGGACCTATTGGATCAAAATGGAACCATCCAGGTATTTTTAGTGATACAAACTTCAAACTCCTATGTTCATCTTGCCATCAATATTGACATGGACACCATGTTGATTGTTGTTGCAGGTAGCTGCTGGGCATTTTCCACTGTTGCAGCAGTTGAGGGAATAAATCAGATTGTGACTGGAAATTTGACATCATTGTCTGAGCAAGAGTTGATTGACTGTGACAAAACTTACAACAATGGTTGCAATGGGGGTCTCATGGACTATGCATTCTCCTTTATAGTAGAAAACGGTGGACTCCACAAAGAGGAAGACTATCCTTACATTATGGAGGAAGGTACTTGCGAGATGACAAAGGTAAATTACGCAAAAATCAACTCCAACCTAGCTCCCCCATAAGATGATAAACTTGGCAATATAATAAACCTATTTTCGCTTGTTCCATCTGCAGGAAGAAACTGAAGTTGTTACCATTAGCGGCTACCATGACGTGCCACAAAACAATGAACAGAGCCTATTGAAGGCGCTTGCAAACCAACCCCTCAGTGTGGCCGTAGAGGCTTCAGGCAGAGATTTCCAATTTTATAGTGGGGTATGTTTTACTATAAACTACTGAAAGAGTTACCATGGCACATATACGTGGTTACTTCTATAAGAGAAACTAGTTTCAATTAAACAATTTTTGAAATTAATGTAGGGTGTTTTCGATGGACATTGCGGAAGTGACCTAGATCACGGTGTAGCAGCAGTTGGATACGGAACTGTGAAAGGTGTGGATTATCTCATCGTGAAAAATTCATGGGGATCAAAGTGGGGAGAAAAAGGATACATAAGAATGAAGAGGAACATTGGAAAGCCTGAGGGAATCTGTGGAATCTACAAGCTGGCTTCTTATCCCACTAAGAAATAATATGATTCATAACTTTCCTTCTATACTCACTCCATTGTTGTGTCTCAATTTCTTTTCTTTTACTAATCTATTCTCCAGTGTCTACAACCTGTTTCAACTTTTCCTTGAAAACAATGTAACGTTTTCCACATAATAAAAATTTGATTAACTCTTCTCATTATGCCCTTGTGTCTTGAGGGGTTTTTCCTTATCATTATTATTCTATTGTTGGAAATCTGGAGTTATGGGTCAGTACAAATCCCTTTCCAAAACCAAAAACTGAACCTAATTTCAAGTGTATTAAGAACAAACATATTTACCTTGACAAGGCAATAACCCTTCATTTAGGATTGCCTTAATAAAAAAATTATATAATACATATACATTGTAAAAGAAATGTATAACACTATTCTACGTTGCAAAATGTTTATGCTCCACAAAATTTTAACACAGATATCAGGTCAAATCTTAAAAAGTTAGGGCTATAAAGTTGTCTTGCTGATAGAGGAATGATGGGATAAGCAACGAGTTCGAATCTAAAAAAAAAAAACTAAAAAAATGAGCTATTAATATTTGCCGAAAGAACAAAAAATCATATATTTTTCAACCTATCCAAATAAATAGTAACAATAACCATATTTGTATAACTGTCTCTTCGAATAACTTCTAGAAAATAACGATAATCAATTTCAAAGTTTAAAATATAGTTTTAATAATTATTACCAAACAAAAGATTGATATGAACAAATATTTCAGAGTGATGTTAATTTTATCTTCATGCATATTAATCAATGAAGTCATAAGTTTAGAAAAAATATTATACACCCTAGTTCAGAATGACGTAACAACATTATTGAAGTGATCCTATTACAGATAATGCTTCTGTTTTCAGAAGTGGAAACACACGAATTAAGTATTCACGTGTTCAAAAAATTTATAATTATTTTTTTTAAAATATTATTTTAAACTTTATTTCATTTTCTATTCTTAAAATATATTTTTTTCTTATAATTTTATTATTTTTTAAATATATAAATTATAACTTTATAAAACTATAATATTTTTATTTTTTTCACTGATAATAAAAAAACGATTAGAAAAATATATAATTATTAAATACACTATATTAAGTTCACATGATGTATGATCACCCGTTTTAATGTTTTTCTAAACAAATGTTGTTTTTTGACAAAGATAAAAGAAATTAATGAAACGTTTCAAAAGATTACTAAATAAAAATTAGTGAATTATATAGGAACTAGAATCATATTTAAATTTAAATAATAGTTTAATTAATTTAAATTATCAACATTATTAAGAACTAATTGTACTTGGTATTTTAAGTACTAATTTTGATTACGAACTAAATTTTAATTTTATATATATATATATATAATTGTATAATATAAATTATAATTTTCACATTATTAAAACTAGAAATATTAAACTTACTTGTATGAACCAGTTTCATCACATTAATTCACCATAAATATATGAACTTTCTCCTACACAGAAATAAATATTATATCATAATACAGTATTTCTTGTTCCACACATTTACGGGATGTAATGTGCTATACTATGCTTTGATGTAAAGCCTCGTCAAAAGAATGTGCATACTTGAAGCCTACAACTCATATCATGGTATTACAAAAGTTGAATCAGTACACAACCTATATATACTGCTCTCTTTCCCTGTTCTTCCTCACCCCTTATCTAATAATATCTTCTTCTTTTGTATTCACACTTCAAAAACTATGGTCATGGCTTTCTCCTCCTCCAAGTTACTTGTACTTGCCTGTTCCTCCTCCCTATTTTTGTCTTTGGCTTTTGGACGCGATTTCTCCATTGTGGGTTATTCATCTGAGGACTTAAAGTCCGCGGATAAGCTCATTGAACTCTTTGAATCGTGGATGTCAAGACACGGCAAGATTTACGAGAGCATAGAGGAGAAGCTGCTGAGGTTCGAGATTTTCAAGGACAATTTAAAGCACATAGATGAAAGAAACAACGTGATCAGCAGCTACTGGCTTGGGTTGAATGAGTTTGCTGATTTGAGCCACCAAGAGTTTAAGAACAAGTATCTTGGGCTTAAGGTTGACTACTCTAGAAGGAGAGAATCTCCAGAAGAATTCGCTTACAAAGATGTTGAATTGCCAAAGTCAGTGGACTGGAGAAAGAAAGGAGCTGTAACCCAAGTCAAGAACCAAGGTTCATGTGGTAAGTATATGATAATTATTATTCATGGTCTTACTCAAGAAATCATTATATTATCTGAGATCAATGAAATTATCATGTGATTTGAGATTCTAGCTAATTACTATGTGAATGTAACACATATTAATTCTTTCTTGTTCAAGAATTAGAAAACATGATTCCATGTCAATAGAGATTAACATCTAGTCATTAATATTGACTTGGTTGGTTACTGAATGTTGCAGGAAGCTGCTGGGCATTTTCCACTGTCGCAGCCGTTGAGGGAATAAACCAAATTGTGACGGGAAATTTAACATCATTGTCTGAGCAAGAGTTGATTGACTGTGACAGAACTTACAACAATGGTTGCAATGGGGGTCTCATGGACTATGCATTCTCCTTTATAGTGGAAAACGGTGGACTTCATAAAGAGGAAGACTATCCTTACATTATGGATGAAGGTACTTGCGAGATGACAAAGGTAAACTAAGCAGAAATCAACTCCAACCTAGCTCCCTCATAAGATGATAAACTTGGCAACATGATGAACCTATTTTCGCTTGTTCCATCTGCAGGAAGAAACTGAAGTTGTTACCATTAGCGACTACCATGACGTGCCACAAAACAATGAACAGAGCCTATTGAAAGCACTTGCGAACCAACCCCTCAGTGTGGCCATAGAGGCTTCGAGCAGAGATTTCCAATTTTACAGTGGGGTAAGTTAAATTATAAACTAAAATGGCAAATATGGTCATCTTTTATACAAAGAAACTGATTTTAATACAATGTGTTTAATTGATTGCCATGTTCAGGGTGTTTTCGATGGACATTGCGGAAGTGACTTAGATCACGGTGTGGCGGCTGTTGGATACGGAACTTCAAAAGGCGTGGATTATATCATAGTGAAAAATTCATGGGGATCTAAGTGGGGAGAGAAAGGGTACATAAGAATGAGGAGAAACATTGGAAAATCTGAGGGAATCTGTGGAATCAATAAGATGGCTTCTTATCCTACCAAGAAGAAATAAGATTGACAAGATTCCCTTTATCGCTTACTCCATTCTTGTATCTGAATTTGTTTTCCTTCTACTAATCGATTCTCCAGTGTCTGCTTATTTCAGCTTCTCCATAGAAACAACCAATTTAACGTTTTCTGTGATAATAAAATGATTGACTCTTTTCATTATCCTATGAACCAATGTGCCCTTTCCATATCATACATTGATGCAACTTTTCATTATTCCATAGTTGCATGAAATGTTGCTAGAAATGTCTGGAGTTCAAGGTGTAAATGAAGTTTGTTATATATTGATACACAATTCTAAGTTTAATTCAATCAAGTCAAGTCATAAATAGATTATACTACACTACTAAATGTAACTATATCAAGTCAAGTTTGTTTTAACATTTATTACATAAGATAATCTTATATTTGGATAAAAAGAATCGGTTTTAAAGATGTAAATCATATTTCAAATGATTTTTGAACAAAGTTTTCGAATAATTTCTGAGAAAATAAAAAACTACACTTTCAAAATAAAATACATTTTTTGTAATTTTCCAGACAAAAAAAAATATATTTTATAAAATCTCTAAAAACACAACTTCAAAATTGCAGTTTTTAAAAGCTTAAAAAAGGCCTTATTTTTAATTATGTTATGCAGGAAAAATGTTTGTGAATCATGACTAATGTATCAGAATAAGAAATAGAATAAACAATATAAAATAGTAGTAATGGTCATAAAATTGTGAAGATAAAAGACTAACTAGATTAAGTATTATTACCACCAAACAACTGGGTCACAAGAGAAAGTTTGAGCACATGGACTGACAAATTACAACAACCGGATGACAAAGTCCCATCTAACACGGTCCTAGAACTCAATTCCATCCTGCCAGAACCTCTTGAATCACCCAAGTGCACATACACTAAGGGGCAAATCTGTCGCAATATCTAACCAAATTAAGCTACGAGATCACATGCTTTATCCCTGAAATGCTATTCCTCCAACTAATATTACACAAAGCTAATGTAACAGGCGTACTTCAATGCTTAAAGCATAGAAGACACACAAAGTAAAACCATGACAAGTGAGTAGAGTCTGATGTGACACTACACAAAACAGTGATGAGAGAGGAGTCAAGTTTTACTTCCAGGGCATGCCTGAAAAGCCTTGTGTTGGGGTGGTGCTGTTGATGTTGTTAATGTTGTTGTTATTGTTGCTGTTGTCATTGTTGCAGGCTCCTGTGCTTTGGTTAAGTGGGCTCCCGCTCCCAACCCCACCTGAAGACTCACTGAGAGTGCCTCTTGATGGTGAACTGCTTTGGCCACCAGCTGTGGAAACCTTTTCTAGGGCAGATACATTCTTCATCCTCTTTGCAGACTTAGATTGCTTGCCATTGGAAACAAAGCTAGCCAAAACAATCTGCAAAATTATATACACCACATTTAGAGCCGAAACAAGCTGATCAACATATGCAGAGATAAGTGACTTGATGTTATCGTAGGGTTCAACATGCACTTATGACTTGATACTTATTTCTTCTTTTAAACGATGTTGAATAAAACAGACACAAATCAATAAAGAAAATGCACCTGAACAGGGGAGGCAGCAACCAAATGACCCGCGACTCCGCCACCCAAGACACGGCCATCTGGCCCTGACAAGGACACACTCAGGCCCCCGGCCCTTTCGCTCTGAGAACCATTTTCAGGGAGAAACAAAGAACCACCAAGTGATAAGATCTCAAATCGCCCCTGAAAACCAAAATTAAGTTATCAAAAACTTATAACAGATCTACTTGTCCACTACTGGGGCATGCAACTAGCTTATTGTGACATGATCATAACTTTTTCTACTCAATGGCCAGGCATTACCGGCATTAACGAGACAAATTTTAAAAATCAAATTTCTTACATAAAAAAAGCTATGAAATAAATAGCAAAGTTACATTTTTCACGGGGGTAGGAAAAGAAATGCAACTGAAAAGAGTGATTAAACTAAAAGTTCCATCAAATAACAGAAAACATAATAAAATCTGTTAAAAATGCTCAACAGGACAATTTACTATAGATAGACAAAATCATATACAGTAACAAAATAATTGATAGATCTAGCGGTAGTGTATATAATTTTGGCTTGAAGATGAACCTCATAAGTCACAGTTCCACCAGATGAGGCAGGTTGTCGAAGTGTCACATTAGATATGGATCCATTTGCACTTAAGATGCAAACATTTCTTGAACCGCTCTGGGAAATTGACATAATTCTTGCAGACAAATCCTGAATTTCCAAAAATATATTAAAAAAACAATATTAGGTCCAAACAAAATCCAACTGAACTTCAACCAAAATCCCCTTTTTTTCTCCCAATAGACAACAATATACTGAAAAGCCATAACATTGTTACATTACATTTTCACATCAGATACATAATTCATTTCTACCATTTTAAGATCAAATTGTCATTGGGTGCCTTGTACAAGTAATAATGCTTTCTAGATAAATTTTCTATTTATGTGATCCATACAAAGTTAAAAATTAGTTAATCTACATTAGCTCGTACTTTCAAAATGTTCAGAACAAGAAGCAAGTGCAAAAATCTATTGATCACAACACCACTGTCACGAACAACAGCATTCGTCAAAGAAAATTAAATTACAGCTTTAATTAAAATATAGGTGTATGCATGGATCAGAAGCTGTTTGAACAAGGAAGATAGATAGATAAAGAAAACATAATTATCCGAAAAAAATAAAAGAAAACACAGCAGTAATTCCCAGTGAAAATAATTTAGTTCACGCATTTCATATATATTTTATAAGATTAAGCAGATACCTCTCCAGCTTTCACGGTAATGACATGCGGAGCAAAGAAAGTTCCTAGTCCTGCACAAAGATTCCATCAAAGGATAACATCCCCATGCACATGAAATTCAATCGTTATCTTCATGTGTAAAACGAAGTAGAACCAGGCCATCTTTTCAAATAATATTAAAAATGCAAATCAGAAACTAGTTATTAATATAACATGTAAATATCCAATATTATAGTGGACACAAGCAAATAAGAAATTGCACATTCAGGGAAAGCAAAAACAAAATAGAAATGGGAAAAACAGCACATGACATACGGGCAAAAGAGTAATTTTTAAAATCAGGGAATCGATATCCAAATGGAATAATAGGTCCCAAATTATATATAGATAAACAAATAATAAATAAATATAATGGCAAACACCCCTCCACAGACACACAACCCGAAGGGGAGGGAAGCAAAAAACATAAAAAAAATAAAAATAATAATAATAATACAGTAAGACATGTCCTTGAAAACAAAACAAGTCAAATAAAAAAACATGCTGCGGTCGGAAGGTATATACATTTTCTAAAAAAAAAAAAAAAAAAAAAACTGTAAAGCTCACTCTATAAAACAAGGCACAAGAAGTTAAGGGACAGGAAAATTGAAGAAGATAAAGGAAAAAGCAGTAACCGGAAAACTTTGAGCTTTTCTTAATCTTGTTAACAGAACCGCGAGGTCTGCCCCTACGCTTCCCGGTACCGGCTGAGGCAGAATCAGAGAGAGGATTCGCCGGAAATGCCCCACCGGACTGGCCAACCGGCACGGTGGATCCGCCGGGAGTAGGGGTAGTATTCAAGCTCAAGGCCATGCCGCTGTCAGGCCCGTATTTCCTGGGCCTTCCCCTCTTTCTCTTGAGTTGCTCAGTGGAGTTCCCCACCATAGCCTGGGGATGGGCCTGGCCCAGGCCCAGTCCCGGAGGCACACCCACTGGAGAGGATTCTCCGCCGTTAATGTTGATGGTAGGGGCGGCGAAAATATCGGCGCCATCAGCAGCACCATAGTCCAAACGCATGTTTTGATGAAGTTGAGGCTGTTGGTGTTGCGGTTGGGGCTGAGGACTGTGCATCCCAACCGTGAATTGCTCCCTGGTTGCCATGTCAGATCCCGACATGCTCATCTTTCGGTCTTACTGTTGTGCAGATTCAACAAGAACAACAACTGCAATTTCAACATTTGTTTCACAAAGGTTAATATAACCCTAGGGTGATCCTATTATGGTATGTCTTATCATAAGTGGTAACTCGATAAATTCTCCCTCTCTCTACACCCTCAATACAATACAATCATCATCTTTCCTTTTTCTACTCTCATCGTACATCTACACAATTCAAATTCAAATTTCAAAATCCACTACCTATACTTCATAAATAAAACCCACCTCATGTTTTTACTCTCTTCTTTAAATTTTGCGCTGGATTGCAAATTTTTCACCTCCAAATCTAAACATCAAAGGATAGAGGGAACAAGGGACAAAATTCAAAACCCAAACCCTAATTTTTCAATCCAGCCAAACAGTAAAAAAACTTCACAAATTGGATGAAATTACAGAGTTTACTTGAGAAGATGTTGAATATAATTTTCAATTAAGATTGTGGTTTACATTAAATATTCAATTTTTGATAAATGAAATTGTTTTTATAAATTTGCAGGGACAATCAAATTAAAAAAAATAAAAGCAGACCAATATTGAAGAATAATAAAATGTGCAGTGCTAAGATAGAAAAGATAAAAAAAAAAAAAAATGTCTGAAACTTACCAATGAGTTTGAAGGAAAATAATATTGCTGAGAGTAGGAATTATAGCAGGAAAATGGTGGGATTTGGGTTAGAAAACCCTAAGGCGCTCGGTTCGCACAATAGATTTGATTTGTTTTATTTTTTTGTTTTTTTGTTTTTTCTTAAATAGTTCAGAAAATGTTTTTCCTTTTTCCTGGTGTGTCCCTGTGGTATAGCATTAATTAGTATTTTTGAAAAAAAAGGTAAAAAAAAGTTATAAAATTGGGTTTGGTGTGGTTTGGTAAGAAGAAGATGATGTCATAAAAGAATGAGATTCAGTTTTGATAAGCTTATCCAATTCATCAAGCCCCTTTAAGCGGAACATGACATCTGTCCATATTTTTTCATTTCTCGCTATTTTATACATAAGCACCTTAAAAATATTTAAATCAAATAAATTTACCTATGTACTAATTAAAAATATAGAAACTTTTTAAACTAACTTATGCGCAATAAAAATATTATTTTTTATTTTTATTTTTAAATATTTTATATTATTTTATTTTAAATATTTGAAATATAATTGTAAAACAAAAACTATATTATCAGATCTTTTTCTTTAAAATACCTTATATTAACATGATATATTATATTATTATATAATTTAAAATATCAATGCTTAATTTTAATATTATTTATATAGTTAATACATAATAATAAATCTACCGAAAACAAAAATACCAATGCTTAATTTTAATGTAATAATTATATTAAAACATTTAAATAATTTCAAACTAATCTACCGAAAACAAAAAATCAACTTTTTTCCCAACCGTCCATTAAAATGTAATATCTTGGATTTTATTTTGAGATGTAAAATATGAAATTTTATAGCAACCTTATATTTTAAATTTCAATTTTAAAAGTAAAAAATAAAATATATGATAATTATTAATCAAAATAAATATTTATAATAAAAACATATATATATATATATATATATATATATATTTATCAGAATAATTATTTTAAATTTAAAATATGATAATTATAAAGATAATTATATTTTTTAATTATAAATTTATTTTTAAATCATAATCACATATTATGTCAAAAAAAAATATATATATATATATATATATATTAACAGTCATATTTTTAAATATAATATTTCTATGTTATTTATAGATTTTTAATACGTATTCAGTAATATGTTTAAAATTTTTCTATCCTATACATACTTTGATTTATTTAAAAAGTGTTCACATTTTAAGTTTTTTAGATGTAATTAAAAAAGATTGAACCTATATGATAAATGCAATTGTTGGAATTATAATATAAGTTAAACGTTAAATATAATTATTTATTTTATAAAATATCATAAAATAAAAAAGTCAATAATTTGCAAAAAGTAATGATAAAAACAGAAGGTTAACACCCTAAAAGAACTTTATATTCAAATATAGTATATTAAAAAAAATGAAATTATATTACCTACTGTAATATTTATTATATACATGATTTTTTATTTAATAACAAATATTAATAACATATAGATATAATTAAATATATTTTATTGTCTAAATAATATTTAAATAATATTAACGATTAATAATTTATCTATATATAAGAAATTAATATTATTAATTAATTAATAATACTATATTATATTATATCATTGAATAATTTTATGTTGTAATCATAATACTTCCTTAATAGTTAATACTAACAATATAAAATCATCTCATTGTATAAAAGATTAAACAAATTTAAATTATTAATATTTTATTTAAATTTAATAAACAAGAATATTTGATAGTGCATAAATACTAATACATTTTATTATTGAATAAATTAAATATAATATTATAATGTCTAAAAGTAATTATGACAATCTTATATTATATAATAACGATGGAGTTAAAACAATTTTTTTATGAGACTATTACCCTAAATTTTGACTATAATTATTGATATAATTTTTATGAATAATGAATATTTTGAAGCTTGTGTACAAAATTGTTCTTTTGTAAATTATCACATGAAAATTTAAATGAGGTATAATATTAAATGTATTTTTGAAAGTTATTTTTATAATTGATGAAATTATATATAAGTGGTCAAAACAAGAGAATATTATTTCAGAAGAATATTAAAACAAAGCTAATTAACCAATTGATTAGTTGAAATAAAATCATTTTTGGAATAAAAGTCTTAACTGTTATAGTTCTAAAAAGAGTCACAAACTTTATACTTTTATCATATTCTTCAATGACTAAGTAAAATACACGTCTAAATAGAAAAAATATTTATATTAATAAATTTAAAAAATGTGAAACTTTGAAAGAAACGTAGAATTAAAGGAGTAGAATATATATATAAAAGAAAAGTAATTTATCAAAGGCGAAAGGTTTATAAAGAAAATTATTTTTCTTTAAATAGTACTACTGAAAGCGTTTATATTTTTAATATCATTAAAAGTTTAAAATACGTTTTTTATCGTATTTTTAATGTATATTATATTTTTTATCATTATTTCTATTCGTGTTATATATATATATATATATATATATATATATATATATATATATATATATATATATATATATATATATATATATAATAAATAATTGTTCGGATGTTTTTTTATTGTTTCTCCACTTCATAATTATATTATCTATCCACTCTTTAAAGTGGTTAAAAAAGCTCTTTTATTTATATACGTATTCAAATGTATTTTTATCCATATTTTTATTATATTTTCATTTTAATGTATTAAAATTTAATATATATATATATATATATTAAAAAAATATATAAATATTTATTTCTAAAATTATAAATAATTAAAGATACATAACCGTGGAGTCTAAGGAAAGAAAAACTAAAAGTAAATAAGAAATTAAAGAATAAATAATGTTTATTTTTATTTATTATTTTATTTGAGAGAAAAAAATAATAATACTAAGATGTAATTGAAAAAAGAAGAGGGAAAAATATAATTTAAAACCAATCTTCATCGGTAGGTACCTAATTTTCAAATACTTCATTCAAATTGTAAAAAGTAATAATGATCTAGTTTTAAAATGGTTATGTTTCAATTAAATATTTTATTTCAATGCTAATATTAAATTGAAATTTCATTTCACTTAAATTTTGCATAAAATATTATATATTATTTTAAATTTATTTATATATATTTTTTATTTTTAAAATATATTAAAATATAAATTATTTAATATTTAATTATTATTCAATCTCATCAATTTTATAAATAATAATCATAATAATATAAAATTATAATTTATTAATTGAATGGATGAAATTATTTTTTATATAAATTTATTTTGGTTTTTTCCAAATTAATTTTTTTAAGAAAGTATTTTAAAATAAAATTTATTTAAAATATTTTAAATTTCTTAAATCCTTTAAACTTTTGTTGAAACAAAATATTTTGTTCAGTGATTTTTCTTTAATGGTAGTATCTTTGTGAAAAAATGTTGGGACAGAATAGGGGAGTTTAAGACCCATTTGGGAGTGATTATTTTCAGACAAATTCTAACCAGTTATATCAAAAACCAACCAGAATCTTAGATATTTAGACAAATTTGAAGTACAATTGTTTTAAAAATTGAGAAAATAACAAAATTAGGAATGGAGGCAGAGAAACTCATCTGAAAGGAATGACTTCCATTTTGCAGTTCTGTTGTGTGCACGTGCGACCCACACTATGCAACTTCACACCCTCTCAAGCAGAGAAAGGTCCTCCACTTTCTTCCCCATTTACTCAATTTTCATGTCCTTCAACATCAGTGATCATTTCTCTCAGGTTTTTGTTCAGGTCCATCACCTCTTGTATCGTTGGAGCATCACAAAGGAAAGTCATGTTCACTGTAAGAATTCAAGTATTTACCTTTTGCTTCTGAATTCACTCATCATTTCCAATGTTGCATGCACAAACAACATGGTCTTTTCATATATGTGTTTGTTCTATCAGTTCTTCCATCGAAGAAGGACCTGGGGTTAATAGGAGGCAACTTATTCTTCACACGGCAGTAGCGGTACCGGCATTTGCAGTCCCAAATGCATTGGCACTCAATGGTGATTTTTTTTCATTTAAAATAATGATTTTTCTTTGTACTCTAACTTAGACAAAACTTGCATGCAGTTTCATAGATTTTTTTATGTTATTTTTCATTTCTGAATTGAAATTTCATCTTTACAATCTATGTTTTATTATGCAGATTATAAGAATGAATTTTCAATTCTGATTGAAAACATTACCAAAAGCATTTATGGAACAGCGGTTATGTTTTGTTAATTAAGTATATGTACAGTAAAAAAATTTTCTTACATGTGTTTTGAGTCTCAGATGTGTCTGAGGATGTTCGTGTCTACACTGACGATGAGAACAAGTTCAAGATTGAGATTCCCCAAGGTAAATTTGAATTGAATTGCAAGTTACAAAGTAAGAGTTAAAACCATACACTCAATTTCAGTTTCTTTGTGTTCTTATGGCTGAATCAGGGTGGAAAGTGGGAAATGGGGAGTCTAATGGATTTAAATCAATAACAGCCTTTTACCCAACAGAAGTATCCAATGCCAATGGTATTATTCTCTGCGTTTATTTCTTGTCAATTTGTGTTTCTGATTATTTGTCTCTTCAGCCATTATAATTTGTACTGAGTAAAATTAAATGCTAACTATTGTTGCTTCAGTGAGCGTGGCAATCACAGGGCTGGGACCGGATTTTACTAGGATGGAATCCTTTGGCAAAGTTGACGAGTTTGCTCAGACTCTGGTGTGATTTCATGATCAGATTTAAAATTGTTACTCCGGTTGGAGGTTTTCTTTCTTATTATTCCAAGCAATGCTAAAATGTCTCCCTATTTCGTTTAAATGAATTCAACAGGTTAGTGGACTAGACAGAAGCTGGCAAAGACCCCCGGGTGTGGCGGCTAAACTCATAGATTGTAGATCATCTAATGGTGTGTACTTTTACTTCTGAAGTTGCTTCGTTATGGTATATGTTATAAGATTGTAAGGAAAAAGGTAAGGATGTCGTACATCTCTTTTTAAGTAACTATACTCCAAATGTGACAAATGTGCAGAAACCACTCTTAAGGTATATGTTTTATTAGTTTAGATCCCTATTCATATGCTAACATGAGCTTAGTGAGCAGAGAACAACTTTCCCAAGTTCTGAAAACATAGGGAAATACCAAAGTTTCAGTGCTTAATTCAATTCCAACAATGGTTCAGGGATTTATTACATCGAGTATTGGATGCAAAATCCTGGTGAGAGTCGCAGATATTTATATTCAGCTATTGGGATGGCATCAAATGGTTGGTATAACAGACTGTATACGGTGACAGGACAGGTTTGTGGCCTCATCACAATTAACAAGATATATTGCAGTATGTATGAGTATGTGTTCAGTCTAATTCTGTTTATGGATGCAGTTTGTGGACGAGGAAACAGACGAGTATGCTTCAAAAGTCCAGAAGGTGAATTTGTTTTTTTAAACATACTCCGTTATATGAACTTAAGATGTTTCAAGACATCTAGTTGATAAGATAAAGTAGCGTTGGTTGTTGAAGTGATTTCTAAGTTATTTATTGAAATTCAGCTTCCACTTGGTTTCTGCAGGTAGTTGCATCATTTAGGTTCATATGAAATGGTCATGACGAGGAAGAAGTTTTCTCACAACCTTTCATTATTTCTATTCCAAAATGGATTTGTGTCTGCCTAGATCTTTTTCCCGGGTTCCATCAGATTTTTCCTATCATTGTTGTCAAACTAGAAATGACAGTTTAGGTCGGACTGATGTGATTAATACCCAGACATTTTCTTCAAAATGTTGAATCAAAGTAATATATAGTTAGTCTCCTTGGTTGGAAGTTTCATATAATTGATAAAATATTTTACAGTGAATGTAAGTGCCTATGATCAAACCTTGCGTTAACTGAAGCAAGTAGGAAAGAAGTTAGTGGTAGTAGCGTGGTGCTACTGCTCCGGCATACTAGAGTTCCTTTAATGGAGCACTTCATTCTTCCATGTCTTATCTGTGTAACCTTGATTGAATATGCTCATAAATCAATAGTTTAGTACATCTGTCTGATTTGCAAATTTTCAAGACAAAGATCCAAGAAATAAACTCATATAACTTAATAACATTTAAGTAATTCTATTACACAGTAATATTTTTCAGAAATATATTAACGTTAATTCTTTGATGCTGTTTCCTTAGTAGGTTTCTTATTTTAAGACACAGTTGCATAATTATTTTTACAATTGAAGGAGATCTACGTGTTGAGTGCACATAAAAATGTATAAAGATGTTGGTAACTTAAGATTTACTTAAAACTATGTAAAGCTGTTAGTAACTTAAGAGTTACTTAAAATTATACTATTCAAACAAAATATCAGAATATTACATCATATTTAAACATGATATTAGATTGCATCTAAATTTCACCAATGCATTTATAAATAAAAATTTCTTTCAAAGTGCATATTTATCATACACTTCTGACATAAAAACATGTACTCTAAAATTAAATATGTATCTAGATAAATTCAATCTTAATATTTTAAAAAAGGCAAAAGAATTCTAAAACCTCCTATGCTTTGCCCATTTTATAAATAAATATTTCAATGCATTTCCTATTAATTCATCTTTTTCTCCATTTTTATGCTTAGTACTACAATTTTCCCCTCTTCATTTTCTGTTCTCAATCTCCCAAAAAAATTCCTCTTCACTCCACCTAAATAATGCTAATGAGTGCACTTCACATAATTACACTTTCTTTACTTTACTTTTCTTCACAACAAAAACTGAGGGATAATTATCATTTTATCACTTCTATATTTGGCTATATTTTTTTTACTTCTCATTTCACATATCCTACATTTTGTGTACATATCCGAGCAAAGCGTTACAATGTAAATACATGTACATTTGGTTGAAAAAGTTACAATGTAAATACATGTACATTTGGTTGAAAAAATTAAAAAGACGTCTACATGAAGATACACGAAATTGATCAACAGTCCTGTGAGATGCAGCCAAAGAAAAATTGAATACTTTCGCTAAGCCTAAGATCAAAAGCAAATTGAGACTTGTCAATCATGGTTCGTCTTTATAATATTGCCTTCTTGGCATTCTCCAGTTTTTGGAGCAGATGATTTATTAAATAAAAGAGTAAGTTGATCAAGGAAAAACATATTTTTCACTTGCTCCAGCTGCTGGCTTTCTTTTTCCATAAGCAGGTCTAAATCTTCAAAATGAACAAGCTTGTCTTGGATATTTTTCATCTACAGAACAGAATATCCAGTATTTAGCAAAAAAAAATTGAACTTTGTAAATACAGACACCATCAAAATAAACCTTGACATATGACAGACCTGAACTTGTATAATCTCAGAAACTCCTTTTTCCACATCCAACTCTTCCTTCTCAAGCTGTATATGTGCATGCAATTTATATCCTTGAAATGAATCTGAAGTATTGCCACCATTAGATGCGACACCGGCGTCTGCATAAAACATAAAGACACAATTCTACTAAGGTATTGAGTTTAAAAATTAATTTTCCATTTTCAATTCATGGAATCACATAGAACATGTAATAAAAGAAAAAGAAAAAAGGAGAAGAAACTATTTCTACATGTATCAATTTTGTATTAGTGTATAATGTTCATCACTGGTTAATCCAAAAGTTAACCACTGAAAAGAGGAAATGATAAATTTGGTGCAATCATGTAGATGTTTAATAAAGATTAGTTGCAAAACTAGATTCAGAAATCATTCCAATCAAACAAATGAAGAACACAATGAAGATCGTACCATCCATTCCCAGATAAATTACATTGATACCAATGACAGATTAATTCATTCACATGATCCTATAATCTTAGGCTACGTTAATTATCAATTTATCATTCTCACCTTGCAGCAATGTATTCCTTGGAAATGACCGATAATTTATTCTAGTTGCTTTGTAAACCTCAGACAGAGTTGTCAATGCAGCTTGAGCAGCAGCTTGGGCAACGTCTGACCCTGCCAAAGCAGACAGGAAAGCAGCCTGCAAAAATTTGAATAAAAAGTGTTAAAGATATTATATTTAAGACATACAAAGACTTTTAAAGTGATCATTCTTCATAGGGCAGTTTAGCTGTGTTGCGGAATCCCTCAGTGTGCCTATGGGTGTCACACATCTATAATTGTGGCATGCAGGTTTTTGAGAGATGGATGTGGGATTGCACTTGATTTGTTTTTTTTTTTCAGAGTCAAGTGTCCCACTCCTACCACCCACACAAAATCTGCTAAACTTCTCTCATACATAAACCTCCATTCACATTCACGTAAGGATATATTTTCCAACATGATATCTGATATAATGGATTGTCATTTTCCATGATATGCTACTGATAACTCGTAACCAACTAACTATTAAGATAAAGCTATTAGAGAGACATTCAGAGTACAATTCATGATTCTTAAATGGTTACATGCTATACAATCAAGTTTCATTTTTTCATCATTCCACAATTTAAAGAGAGCAAGAAAAAACCTGAGCCATAATAGGATTGCTTGCATCTGCAAGAGGAGTGAGACGCATTCTCTTACTAGATTCTGCTAAGGCAACAGTATCCAATTCAGATTCAGCATCAGCATTAGCTACCCTCTTTAACTGATTACAATTGTCATCAGTGCCATTGACAGCAAGTTGTGGTTGATAATGCTGGAATTGATCCGCAAAAGGAAGCTTCAAAAAATGAGCAACACACTCCTTCTCAGTTCTGCCAGCAACATGCTGAGAAACCCTCTTCCAATCGTCACCATAATGCGTAATGGCTTCCAGAAGATTTGTTGTCTCCTTTTCGCTCCAATCCGTCTTTGTCTCCTCGCTTATCTCCACTCGCCTAAAATCCGAAGAGTTCACACCAACTCGATAATTGCCACGAACGTAACACCTCGCACAAAGAGTCAAATCATACTGCACACACTTCAACTTTGCCTCGATTAAGTGCAAATAACTTAGTTGTTGAAATTTAAATATATTTGGAGAAACTATTGCATGGTCCATAATCATAAATCATAATCATCACGCGACAAATACTCAAGTTTTATTAATTTTATATTTCATAAATTAAAAAATATGGCTACGCATATATTTAGATTAATCACAACCATGGAGACATGGTGATATCTGACCTACAACAATCCCTCGTGTTTTTAGAATTGTTTTACAATTAGTATTAAGTTTCACTTAGTAAGTTATAATGACCTTCAATATAGACATGTATACTACAAATTATAGAGATAAAACTACAATTACAACACCAGATATACTAGTTTGTATCCAAGTTGTGTCGAAACAATGAAAGAAAAGAGAAAAAAAGTAACCTTGTCACAAGCAAAACAAGCAATTGTACAAACGGCTTTGCAGCCACTGCAGAGTCTCTTCGTGTTTCCTTTGGCGGGAGCGGAAGAAGATTCGGTGGAGTTGGACGCAGAATCGGGTTTGGTATCTTTGTCGTCCCACTTCAAGGGTTTGGTCAGAGATGAAGAAGGGTGGTAATTGATAAGGCCCCAAGCTTCGAGGAAATCGAAGACTCTGCGGATGGAACCGACGTCTCCGACGAGCGTTTTGCGGACATCGGTGAAGGTGATTTTTCGGGTGGGATTGTACCTGAAGTACTTCACGATGGAATTCCTGTAGTACTTGTAAACCCTAGGGCTCTTGGACGCCGATTCGAAGAACTCGGGGAGATGACGCACCTCGCTTTCGTGAATCGAGTCCCACGAGAACCATCGAGAGTAGCTCGGGACCAAGATTACGTTCGCGTCCGCGGACGATTTCGGGTCGGACAATGGTACCTCAGGTTTCACCGCTGCCAACGCAGGCGGCGGAGGAGGTAGTGGATGCTTCGGAGGAGTAGGGGCCGGAGGCGTTTCGGCAGAGGAAGGTGAAGGTTCGGTGGCGGAGGTGGAGGCGGTGGTGGCCATGGAACTGGGCCCTTATTACAACCACGCCTGTGTACGAATTACGATTTATAAGTGATTTTGAACGAACTAATCACAAATCCATTCAAAAGTTGCAACGGATCCTCAGAAATAAATAAACATGTCAGCTGAAATAATGTGCAATGAAATTGAAACCCATATATATATTTGGATAAATTTTGAAAGAAAATTATTGAAATAGATAAATTAAAAAAAATGTACACACGTGGGATGATTAGGTTTTAAATCAACTTCTAGTATAGTATTTAGTAGTTGGATCAAACGATAGATTTGAGGCTCGAAAAATAATAAATTTGAGTGGAACGAGTGTGGTTGAATTAAAAGAAAGTTAATAAAAATATAAAGAAAGGAGAAAAAAATTTATATAAATTTGTGAGTAATTTGATTGATATAAATAATAAAATATTTATATTAATAAAAATTAAAAATAATTAAATTATAATTAAATAAAAATTATATTTATTAATATAATTTAAAATATTATGATTATTTTACTATTTTAATTTATTAATATCATTATTATTATAATTTTTATTATTAAAATTAAAATAATTATTTACATATTATATATAATATAATATAAACTTTCCATTCATTTCTCCTTGTCAATATAAATTTTTTTTTGTGGGAATTACAAATTTTTTGTCTCAGAATTAATTTTCTTTACAAATCTATTCTTTCCGTCGTCTGATATAAATCTAAGCTTAAAGTCTCGTTCTAATGTACGAAGACTTAATTTTAAATATGAGTTAACATTTAATACGTTAATAATAATGAAAATTGTTTGATAAAACAAGATTTCCAAAATGTGATTTTAGTATTATTTTAAAAATAAATTTATATTTAAACCCAATTCAAAAGTAATATCTTAAAACACTACTTGTCCTTATTCTATAACTTTTCATTTTGTAATTTTTTAAAGTTACCCCTCAAAAGTGAAAAAGATCCCCATTCAAATAATAGTCATCTTAATTTCTAATATTTGTATACATTTTAAATATTTTCTTTTTTATTAATGAATTGAATTATTATTTTTTAAGAAGTCTTGCGTTAGTAAAATACTTAATTATCATTATATAAACTAACTTTATCTGAAACTAACTAGACATTATAATTATATATATATATATATATATATATATATATATATATATATATATATATATATATATATATATATAAAAGTAAATTCGCATTCCCATTGTCAAACTCGTTACGAAGAATCTCATGTTACTATATAATTAAATAAAAAGTACCTAAACTTTTAAACAAACCATTACAAGAAAAAAATAAAAATAATGGGAAATACCAGGAAGGAAATCTGTATCAAAATGCTTGGTATAGTTAATTAAAGAAAAATATGTTAATATGTAAGTTATGAAACTTTTCTCCCCAATTTGTATGTAACCATAATATTATTCAAGTTTTTATGAAATCAATGAGAATAGCATTACTGGTTATACAAAAGCACATGCATATTAACATACTTTCTCGATTTAAAAAAACAAAGCCTCGGCTAAAACTTTAATCTTTTCTGTTGACAACTTTAAATGATATTTTAATCTCAGTATAAAATGATTAAAATTTTCAAAGTTTCATTTGTAGTCAAATAAAGGTTAAGAACACTTTCTAACCTAGTGCCGTACTTGCATGTGCTCTTATAAGTGAAACACTGCTGGTTTTGGCACCAGAGACTGGGTTCTTCAGTTCAGTCATTGTTCTCGTGAAGGAATTTGGGACCACATGATTAGCTTCTTTTACACGTAAAGGGAACTTGGGTCTTCATATGTCCATTCACATTCTAAAGGATAAAACCCTGCTTTTTAGCATGAATCTTTTGAGGTGTAGCATTAATTTGTCGTATAGCTTCCTAGTTGTTCTTATGGGGCTTCTCACTTTGAAGCAAACCCACAAATGTTTTACCTTATAAAACTCACAGAAAGGTTTCTTTTAAGTTGGTCTTCTGGGTAAAACCTGATTGTAGTGACCAATCCTAGCATAGGTTTTGTATTGCGTGATGTTGAGTGGTAGAAATAAAAACCCCACGCAACCATGTATCACCAGCCCAATGTAAAGCCAGACATAAAGACTATGATTTGCATCATTTTGATAACAAAGCAGTTGACATGTTGAAAAATCAGAAAAAACTGTGAACGGTACCAATTGTAGACGGCAAAAAACATACCAATTATAGAGTGCACCATGACGAAAAGGTTGAAAATTAATTCAAGAAAATGTTGAACATGTGATTCCGTGTTGAATGACGGTGATATAACACTAACGAACCACTGCAATCCTCTCTAATGGAATATACTGATGGTTCTACCCTGCATAATCGGCAGGATCTTAAAATCATAAAATTACACCCGTGTCTTCTTCTAGTAGAACCCCTGAAAACTACTATGCACAAAAATCACAATGTGATGGACCATCCATCGTCACACAATGCACCAACATTGACAACTATCTACAAACTCAATGCTGGACAAAGACTACAAAGAATCATATTTTGATTCAGTCGTGAATTTTTTTTTACAGAAGTTTATTCCCTACATGGGATTGCCAGAAACCTATCCCAGCACCCATTGATTCAATACTACTGACACTCTTCCTGAGTACAGGTAGTATTAGGTATAAATACACTAGTGTAAATGTCCAAATGGAAAAGCAGCCCATTCCAGTTTCCTTTGCCATCTGGAGCGACTCAGACACAACTTGGTGAGCATGACTATATATGACCTGCATATCATAACATTTGTTAAATAACCTAACTAAAGAATATTATAGTTTGCAGGTGCCATCTTTTTAATTTCAGATCGTCATGAGCATTTAGGGATGCGGACCCCCTAAAGCAATAAAACCTTCACTCCATGAGTAAATGAAACCCAATATGATGCCAAAATAAAATATAGCAGATATAATGTCACACTTTATTTAACGCTTCATACTATTGCAAACCTATATTTTTAAAGAGACGGCAAACTTAAGAATTTCACATCAATAAGTTGGGCAGTTAATACCCTGGCGAAATTAGCAGAATGTAATGTCAATTTTAAGAAATCTGGAAATCACTAAATTTCTTTTCTTTTACTAAATATAATAATTGGAGACATTCTTACCAATAAGTACAGCAGGCAATGAGCCAAGATGAATTGATTTTTTTGCTTGTCCATTTTTAACTCAGTTCATGGCTCACTCATTCAATGTGAGGCAAATTTTCAAGCAGATTCTCAGTTAGAGCCAGGCTAGTGTGCTATTTGAACCAGCCTTATGAGCTCAATTGTGTTGAACTAAATAGGATTGCAACTTGGAATTAGACAAAATACTTTCAAGAAAGATCCCAATTCCATAATAATTTGAAGGTATGTATTTACTATTCTAAGTTTATTAAGCTAAAAAAGTAAGTCATGAAATGCCAATGTATAAAGCTTAACCCATTTTCACCGTCCTCATTAAGGCAACGCAAAGGAAAAAAAACAACATACCTCTAGAATGCAAAATAATTAACTTGCAAGGCTAGATTGGAAGCCCGCCACTCAAGTAGCAGTTCCGCTGCTCTTAGTCCTGCTGCAAACTAAGGATACCTGTAACAGAATACTTTCAAAACATAAGTTGATGTAGGAAATAAAGATCTGGGCACACTAAGAAAGAAGGAAAATTGCCCACCTTATTCGCCCCCTCACCCAGCTGTTTGGTCAGGACCACTACCTTGCATGAACTGAGAAGAAGGAGCAGAAACAATAAATTGTGGTTGGCCAGGAACTGGTGCAGCAATTCCTGAAAAAGTCAACACACTAGCAAATCATTTCACATAGAACCTAAAGAAGTCTTTCTTTCAAATTCCAATAACAGCCAAGAGATGTGGCATGGATGCTTGAATGCCTCATTCTACATGTACACACATGCATGCATGCATGTCTCAGAACTTTTCCAAAATCCATATAAAAAATATCAAGCATATTCTTCACAGATTTGATATATGCCACCCATCAGAAGTCCAAATTACCTATATTTAATCAAAACAGCATTGTCTCAGATATTACCAGGCTCCAAATTCCAACGTAAATCTGAATAGGATAACTAAAATTCCGTAAATGGTAAAAATTTGTAGGACAATACGCCAACAAGTTAAACCTCATTGCATTCTCAGCGTATAAGTACTTGTTCAAAACTAAATGGTTCCATGCTCAAGTATTTTCCAGTTAATGTTAAAATTCCCATGTGAGCATTGAATACCCAGTGAGTATGGCTGTTGATAAGAAAGATAACAAATCAGATACATATCACATTACTCTTTCAATCACATGAAAATTTGGGCATGTGAAAAGTACAAGCTCACAAAGCAACCAAAAGGGCACATCCTGAGAGACATCATAAATGAAAATTCTTCAGGGTAGACAACCGTACCACTAGGAAATGAAGCTTGAATGGCAGGCATAGGTGAAGTTGTTATGGCATTAACATTGGATCCACCATATGGAACAATCTGATGACCTGGTACTGTATAACCCTGCATTGCCGAATAACCAGCATGACCACTAGGAATAGCCTGACCCAATTGTCCATATGGATAAATATTTGTATTCACTGTTCCAGGCACTCCATATAACTGAAGGTACTGTTGCCCCACATATGGGTTGTACAGACTCTATTAGACAAGATGGAAGTTGAAAAAGTCAGTGGTGCACAAACAACACTATCGTTCTTCCTAAGACAATCAAGAATGGTAATTTAACCTGTGGGTATATGTACTCAGGTCCATATGTCGTATACCTGCAAAGATAAAACAACCACATATAATGTTGAAAAGATCACCTCTATAGCATGATTCTGGTGTAATACATCCTGATGCACAATTTAAATGTAGTTAGGAACACCTCACACGCACTGAGATAAATACAGCAAACAGTTACTAATTCATTATATCCAATTGATATAGGTTTTCCACATACATGAAGACAAAACAACTAAAAACCAAATCTCTCAGGATTATGCTCTCCTGATTAACCACTACTGTAAGGATGTGCGCATAATTGACCTTAAAAGCCATCGCCGTCTTTTAACACTCAACAAAAATGGCATGAGTTGATAAGTAATAAAAGTACATACAACAAGTACAACGAACAAGCAACATAATAATTTCTAGCAATGAAAACAAATCTTTCAAAGCAAATGTTCGCTTTGCAATAATATGCAACAAGACCACACTCACCCATAAGGAGGGTAAACTAATCCTTGTTGATAGCTGTAGGAAAGCGGTTGCTGGTACCCAAAGCCTCCTACATAAGCACCTCGAGCTGGTTGCACACTTCCAACATAAGGGGAGGCAGGTCTTACCCGTCCTATAAAAGAAAATAAATGAAGCAAGGACAATATAAAAGTAATCTGAGTAGGATGAGAAAGCTAGAACGATTATGTTGTAGACTATTACACATGTGGAGGAAGTTGTTAAAGCAAAACAACCACGTTGGTTAAAATGATCAATCAGAAATTGCAAACACATGTTTCTAGATCAGACAGACAGTATCATGTTAAGTAATATTTTTTTTAACAAAAGGTGGTCCATAAGATTCAGGAGACGACTTTAGGGTAATGATAGTACTAAACACTAGGGGGCGCAAGCACTCGACCTCTTTCTATCAGTGCCTACAACTTTATCTTAATAACAGAGGCACGGCAATTTGGAATTCGGATAATGATATATAATGGCAACAACAGCAAACGATAATGATGATGACGTCAGTGACAAAACCAACATGACAAATAAATTTATAACGCAGATTTGCAATGTAACTTCAGTATGTTACATGGCTAAAATTCATTGAGAGAGAGGAAGATGAATAAGACACGATACCATAAGGCAAAGGGGGTCGTGGTCGACCAAGTGAAGCCAAGTTACAGTTCGCCCTTCTACCATCAATAACAGGAGTTGGATCAGCACACGCTCTCCTTGCAGCCTCGGGATCCCGGAAAGTCACCTATACCCTCCAATTCCATGCACGTGAGATAGAAACCAAGTCATTCTATAGTAAATGTAAATCATGGAATACAATGTGAATCTTCGGATAAGACGCAATCCGAATCAAACAAAGCAACAAACTTCTCAAACGGCGTGTTGTGTAGTGTTGGTAGTGACAGCACAGCAGTAGCAATAATGAATAAAATCGAAAAACGGAATAAAAAAGATACTCACGAAACCATAGCCCTTGGATCGCCCTGTGTTCTTATCGGTGATGACGACGGCCTCGAGAATCTCGCCGAACTGCTCGAAGTAGCGGCGCATGGTTTCGCTCTGAGTCTCCCAGGCCAACCCTCCGACGAAGACTTTGGTGTAAGTGGTGTCTCCGAAAGGAGAATTCAGTAGCTGAAACCCCGAACTCGATCCCGAACTCGGACCCTGGATCGCTTGGTACGCCATTAACAAGATCACTATTCCCGCCACACGCACGACGACGACAACAACACCAACACCAACAACAGCAGCAACAAAAGGGAGAAGGAAAATCAATTAACAACGCAATGAATAGAGAAACAGCCTTGAATTGAGATTGGGTTTGGGTTGCTAAGACATGTTAAGGAAAGGAAGGAAGAAGAATTGTGTGGGCGTGTGCGTGTGGTGCGGGAAGAAAAACAAAAGGAAAGGACAAGGGAGTGAAGATTTAGAAGAAATATACTGGGAATCAAAGGAAGTACAGAGAGAGAGAGAGAGGGAGGTAGGGGAGATCGAAAAGCACAGTGATGAGAGAGAGAGAGATGGTAACCTAAGGAATTAAAAGTGGAGAGAAAAGGGGGATTTAGAAATACAAAAATTAAAAAATATATATAAATTTAAAAAGTGAGAAAAGATGGGAAGAATGGAAAAACCCTAGAATTGTGGTGGGAGGAAGGGAAAGAGAATTGGAAAAGGTGGGGTGGTACATGGAAGATTGGAAGAAGGGGGAGAGTGATTGGAGTAAGAAGGTGTGTGTGTGTGGGGTTGAAAAGGTGATTGTGAGCGTGAAAAGAATCTAGGATACTTGGCAGCTGCAGCAGTAATAGTAGTAGTAGTAGAAGAGTGGGAGCGAATCGTGAACCGAGAAAGAGAGGAAAATAGAAAAGGGTTTTTGGTTTAGGGCAATCAATTATGGTTGTTGTAGTTGTTGTTGATGATGTGTGATGACAGGGTGGAGAGATGGAGGAATACGAGAGTGAGAGTGATTCATTGTTGTCGCCCAAAGAATGAATGAAATTGAAAAGCAAGAGGAGCAAGCAACGGCCAGAAAGAGAGAGAAACGGATCAAGGGAATGAACCACTATCAATACCAAAACTAAAATGACACACAAATTAAAATAAAAAAGAAAAAGTAGACCCAGGCCTTCAGTTTTCGACACCTCCAGTTTTCTCAACCCAACCGGACAGCCTGCGATGGTGGTCACCCCGGACCCACACACTCCCCCCTCCGTCTTTTCACTTTCTATTTTTATTTTTTAAGTCCTCCTTTATTTAACTTTATTTTGGAGTTTTATTTTATCATTTTTTTTTCATTAATAAATGTACTCTTTGGAGTCAAGTGTATCCAAATGTTTTTATCCTAAATAAATATTATCCTTGGAGGCAAATATAAATATACACCACGTGTATACAAGTCTCTGAATTTTGGATTAAGCAAATGTTTTCAGTTATTTAATTTTACTTTATATTTTCTATTTTAATAAATAATTTATGTACTAAAAATCAACAAATAATTTATTGTTGATATATATTTTGTTAATGATATCATTTGTTTTAAAATCTAATATGCTATGCATTTTTTTATTGTAGTTGTTTATATAAAATAATTACGTGTCACGCTTTTGTTGTGTTTCTCTTAATTATTAAATGGAGTTTTGAAATTGGGTAGTTGATTTTAAGAACTAAAAACTGGGAGAAGTAAAAGTAGAAGGTTAAGATATAAAGGATAAAATAATAAAATTAAAAATGCTAAGGGTGTGGTGATAAAAATTGTTTTGGATTTATCTATCGGAAAGGTTACGCGGTTGTGACACGGATTGATGGATACAGTGCATCTCTGGTGCAACTCTTGGTGACTTGTCAGCAACGCTTTCTCGGAGTAACCAAGCCCGTTTCATCATTTCGACAATGAAAAAAATGCACTCTTAACGAACTAAAGTTTTTTTTTCTTTTTTTTATCAAATTTAAATTTTGAATCTTGTTCACAATTGAATTCATTTTTTTTAATTATATTTCTAAATATTATCCACAATTTAATTCGAGTGTATTTATTTTGAGAATATATATAATAATAAGTTGAAATAAAATATATTAATAAAAATATCATATAATTATTCAATTAATTATTATAGTTTATCATTTTTACTTATGATTTTAATGTTATATTTAAGAAAAGATTTATTTAGATAATCATATATAAATATTTCCTGGGGTGTGATCAAACTTACATATAGTTTATCCAAATGTTGGAACAATGGTAGTTTTGGGACTTATGTTTGTCTTCAAGCGTCATTGTTGGCCATTTTGGTTGTGAGGATGGTGTGTGAACACGTGCGATTGGACCTAGTTGTTTCAAGGTTGCTTTCATATGGAAATTCTTCGTGATCTTGACCTATTTATCTTAATCCATTTCATAGTATTTTTAGTGAATTTTATGTCATTTTGACAAATTTTTCTAATGTTATTTATAATAAATTTAGGGGAGGATTTTTTTAATTTAATAAATTTAATCTATATGTCCGAAAAATAAGATGTAATAAAAAAATTTATGATTTAAATTAAATCATATTTATTTTGATTCGATTTATTTAAATTATATTAATCTATTGATTCATTTTATATAATAATATTTATTTTGTAAATAAAATAAAAATAATATTATTTTATTAATATATATATATATATATATATTATAAATTAATTTAATATAATTTATTAATTTTATTTTTAAGAATAATTATTAAAATAAAATTTTAATAATTATTTATTTTAAGATCTAATTATTAATATAAATTATTAAATATAAATAAATAATAATAATAAAGATTAATTTTTATTTTTTATTTAATATTGAATGATTAGAAACTCTTATAATTATATATATATATATATATTAAATTATTATATATAAACAAATTTTATTAATAAAATTTAAAATTTGTAAAATATATTTCTATCTTTATTTAAATATATTTTTAAATAATTAATTATATATGTACATATATTAATATTTAATTATAGCATTAAAATTTAAAAATATATTTGAAAGTGTTATTTTATTTTTTGTCATTGATTTGAATTTATAGATTTAATTATGTATTGTTATTTTAGTTTTTAAATTTATCCTATTAATTTAATTTTACTCTGTAAAAAATATTGAAATAGAAAAATACCAAGAGTAAGTTGGGCCGAGACCAAGAGGGTGTGTTGTGGGTACTACAGAACGTTTTTAGGAGCATTTCGTAATTCATCCAGGATTCCAATTTCTGAGGAACCTTCAAACTTGTGGAATCTGTTTTTGTGTTAGTGGGTTTGAATGACGAGTAGCTGGAGAAGAACGTTGGGCAACATGAGGTCCTTCGTGAGCAATTCGATGGGTGGTCTCAGGGGCGGAAGTAACCTTGCTTCGTGGGTGGTCGCCGGAACCCTAGCCTACTTCCTCTGGATCAAACCCTCACAAGACCTGAAGCGCCAACAACAGGTTCTCCTCTCTCTTTACTCTTTTTTCCAAACTCCAATTTGCAAACACCACACTCACTGTAGCAGTGGGCCTCACAGGAAAAAGCCGCTCTTGCTGCCCTCGAAACCAATCCAGATCGATACGTTGAGACTCGAAAACCCATTCCCGATCCTCAGGTTTCACTTTTGGGCCACCCTCTATTTTCCACTCCCATGTTATCTTCTTCCACTTTTGTAATCAATTGTTTATCAATTTCAACAATTCCAGGTAACGGGTTTGATATACGGAAACAAAAACAAGGACAGAGCAAGCAAAGAAGATGATTAGCATGTGAGTTTGTTGCCTTACTTGTACTCAATCCTATACTGCTATACAATCACTGCATTCCCGGTAGTCAATGAAGATAGATACATAGATAGATCCCTGTGTTCCCGCTACATGAGTGTGATGGGTTCATCTTGATTTATTGTTGCATTTGTGATGCTCTAGGCAGGGGTCAAAATGGAAATAAATAACAATAAGGCATGTATTGTGTTTTGATGCAGGCTCAGTTTCATCTTTGATAAATATAGATAATATTACTGTTTATTGTATTGATGTTGCTGACAACATACTATATGGTGATGATGCAGTAAATTAGGTTCTGTTTTACACATTTAGCAGCAGTGCTCTATGGGTAAACTTTGTCTTTCATGTGTCTTATTTTTTGAGTTTGACAATCAACCTCTGTAATAAACATCCATCCTTAAGGAGACAGGAGGCATGCTGTAATATTATAGTGATGCAATGTTAAGGATAGGTCATACTTACTGTTATTGTATCAGCTACATCAGTTTTGTAAAAAGTTTTAAAAAGTTGCATTAGCAGTTCTGTTGCGCCATGAATTTTGAGTTTGTGTTCAATATTTGGCAAACTCATTATATAGTACTTTGATAAATAGAGTATAGTATCTTTAGAGATTCATGTAATAAACAATAATTGCGACAAATTCAGTAATCAGACTAAGTGCATTAGCAGAAACATGTATCTATGAAAAAAACAAGTGCAAACAGAACTCTTTGAGGCATTTTTATCAGACAGTTGGAATAAAAAATATGTGAAGAAATTTATGGAAGAACGTTGTTGGAGTTAAACATTAATACGAACCTGACTCGTAAAGAAAAATTTATAATCCTTATTTCTATCTTTTGCAAATTCAATCCTCTTCATGTTCTCAAAATTCAATTCCTTAATGAGCTTGATTCCTAATTTCAGATGTCTAATCGCTTAGAAAACCTAATTATAGAAATCAGTTCTAGAAAAGAGGATTTGAGTCCTGAAAAACTTTAATTCTATTCCTAGAAAATAGTGTTCAACGAGTTCTACTTCACATCTAAACTGTAGGTATGTTTCCAACACATTTATCTTCATAAATGTTTGGTTGATCAAGCCAAGTAAAATGAAGTAGAAACAATTGCATTGAATAGAAATTAGGTCAGAGATATACAAAGATTACATGATTCAACTCTTACTACAAGTTCAACTCCAACAACAAGGTTAACTACTTCAATCCATCGTGAAAATCCGAAGAATCCACCAAAATTGGTGAGGAATTTGGACCAAATGTGAGAAGATAATAGAGAGAGAATTATGCTCCAAAATTTGCTTCGATGGAAGAATAAATTAACTAACCAACTCTCCCACGTGGTTGGCATATAACTTAACTTCTAACAGTGGATTTTTTTTGCTTGAGCTAGAACATTTCTTGCTTATGCGTCATTTGCATGGCTCTTTGGTCCCTTTCTAGCTTAAGCGAGGTGAATTCTTGCTTAGCCACTAGTTTGCAATGCTCTCTAGATGCAATTTCGCTTGAGTGGTGGAGCTTTCCATAGTGGTGGTTGTCGACATCTGTGTTTGTGTTGTTACCAACTGTTTGTCATATGTGGTTGATGGGGATGCTCCTCCAACATGCTGGTTGCCAAAGTCTGTGTTTTTGCCATTGACCTTTGTGATTTTCATACCTCTTAGTTTTCTTTTTGTGTCAGTCATTATCATATAAAAGAGATGGATTTAAATAAGTCTTCCAAACCTCTTCAAAGACTAGTTTCGTATTAAATTCTTAATACACCAATTGACCTATCCTTAAAAGATATGGATTTAAAAACTAATAAACCTATAATTAAATAAGTCATTGAAAATAGTTAAAATCACATTAAAAAATTGCATTTACATAAATATTAGAAATTTCTCAAGACACAGTTTTAGTTATTAAAATATAATATACATATTACGTATTAAATGTTAATATATTATTAAATTGTTATATTTATCAATGAGGTGGTTTGTCAGGTGTAGTAGGCTTTTTTAAAAGTCCACAGTCTAGTCCACTTACGTAAAACATCTTTTTGAAAAGTCCATATCTAACCTCTTACATCTTCTAGTAAACAGTGTAGGTCAAGTCAAGCCTTAAAATGGGCTTTTGATGCAAAGTTTACCTATTTTTCTCTCTATATTCTCTATCAATGAATGAGAATTTTGTATGATTGAAAAGGAACCAATTCATGTAAAAGAAAAACAAAATTCTTACATTCGTAGTATTTGTTACGTTTCGTTTCTTAGGTGTGTTCATTGAGTTTTGTCAATTGCGTCCCACCATAGATTGAGGCAATTATTTCCTCGTGAAAAAGGAAGTATTTACCAAAAAATAGAAAAAAAACAGAACTATAGGAAATAAGTAAAAGTTTGATTGTTCCTATCCTAAGCGGAGTTAAAGACAAATATACAAGAGAAGACGAAGAAAGATAGTTGGTAAGAGAATAATGTTGGCAAGACGTCATGACATGAAAAGGAATTGAATTATCCAAGTACATTTTTAGTCCTTTTTTACCTTTTTATAGTGCGAAGTTTAAATTTAGTAGAAATCTAACAGCTTTATGTTCTCTTATTATCACCATGTTATGCCTAAACCTCAGAATCAATGGCTTTATGTTATATTTTTTGAGGGTCCGACCAATCATTCTTAATTGTTGCATGGTATTCCTATTTTTTAACTACTTTAATATTCAACATTAATTAGAGGTACTTCAATAATGGGGTTGCATTGCACCTCTTATTTTCCAAAATTTTTAAAATAACTTTTGAAGGCTTTTGTTTATATTTTATCTATATCTCCTTCTTTTTGTCTAAAAAGCAGCCTAATTACTTGTCCTCATGAATGCCAAATGGGAATATAAAAATGTGTTAGACACAACAGACACAGATACTTTAAGACGCGTGAGATCTAATCGTTGCTTTTGTTCATATTTTATTCATCATCAACAGCGAAATATTTATGAATGAGAGTAACATCAGTAATTTTGACATCAACTGATTCAATTAATAGTGGTTTAAATCAATGTTAATTAATTTAATACAATAATAAAATACAAAAATAATGTATAAAATAACATTGAAGAAACATAATATCAAAACATATTGAAAATTAAATTAAAATGCATACTAAAGTTAAAACGAATATATATATATATATATATAGAAGTTAACCTGAAATTCCAACCATTCACATCAATATTTTTAAATAATAACAATTTTATATTACAATAAATTTTAAAGTAAGAAATATTTTGGGTTAATTTACCTTCTTTTTTAAATAAAAGAAAGTTAGAATAATATTGTATTAGGTTTTTCCACTGGTCTTTTTGTTCTTTGAGTATATTTTCTTTAAACTGGTTCTGATATTTTGTAGAATTAATTATTTAACTAGTTCATCAATTTTAGATCTGACTCTAGTGTGGTCTAACCCTTAAAACAAAAGTCTGTGCTATTACATCAATTAACTCACTTTAACCTTGCACGTTTTGGACGAGCCAAATTCAATAATCGTGTATTTTTATAACTCCTTCCCGTTCTTGATACCATTAGACACCATTTATTAGATTTTGATAGTACTTTTTATAGAGTATTTTATATTTTTGTCAAAATAGTTAATATATTTTATCATTTGTATTTATTGATATTATTATATAGTAATTTTAAACTTTAATGTCTTCGCATAAACTTATTTATTAAAAATAAAATTAGTACATTAGTAAGAACTTGTTATAAAACTAATAAAATAATCTATTAGTACGTGTAGTTATAAAATATTAGCTGGAGACTTAAATATAGGTAAAATTTCCTAATTTCATATTTAATTTTGTTACTAAAAATTTAGTTAAATATATATTTTTATTTATTTTACAAAATAAAGAAGTATATTTTCTAAAGTAAGTCATATTGATTGGAATGATGTTCAACTTTAAAAATAAAAAGTATATCTTAAAATAACACTCCTTCTATCTATCCACCAGCTAACAATAAATGTATAAAAAAGTAGGATTCAATTTAATGATTTTATTTTCTATAAAATGTTAATTGTAATTTAATATCTAAATTAAACAAGTTTGATCCATTAATAATATGTAGGAATAGAGAATGTGTCATAAAGGAAGGAACGCGTGTGGGAGGAGCGTGAAAAGAGCTTGCTTGGGTAATGCCAATTTGTTGCATTGCGTTCTTTCCCCTTCCCACCATTTCAATTTTCATCCCTCAAAACCTTCGTTCCTTTCCCCTTTACGCTTCACACTTTAATTCCATCACCGTTTCAAGAGTGTTGTGTTGTGTTGCGTTGTGCTCTGCTCAGATAAATTGGATCTGAAATTCTGAAAAAGGATGAGGAGATGGCTGCTTACAACAACAGTGAGGGAAATGAAGAAGACCAATTAGCTGCTTTTGTTGCTCCTCGCCCTTTCATCACACCACCCCTCCTCGACGGAGAAGGGGCCTCCTCCGCCGCCCGCCGCCATCGTGGACGTCCTCCAGGATCCAAGAACAAGCCCAAGCCACCAGTCATAGTCACGCGCGACAGCGCGAATGCGTTGCACTCGCACGTGCTGGAGGTCTCCCTCGGTGCCGAGGTGATAGAGAGTCTCTCCGCTTACGCGCGGCGCCGAGGGAGAGGAGTTTGTGTGCTCAGTGGCACTGGCGCAGTGGCCAATGTCGCACTCCGTCAACCGGCTGGAAGTGTGCTCACCTTCCCCGGACGGTTTGAGATAGTTTCCATAACGGGGACGGTGCTTCCGCCGCCGGCGCCGCCCGGTTCTGACGGGTTGTCGGTTTATTTGTCTGGGGCGCAGGGACAGGTGGTTGGGGGCATCGTGGTGGCCCCTCTGGTGGCGTCGAGTCACGTGGTGTTGGTGGCTGCTTCCTTCGCTAACGCCATGTTTGAAAGGTTACCCTTGCCCTTGAATCACCATGATGATGTCGATCACGATCATGATAATAATGAGGATCATGTTCCGGTAGCGACTTCACGTGGCGTCACGGGATCTGGACAGGTGGGAGATGGAAGGAATAATCCCTTGTAGTCGTCGTCGTTGCAGAGTGAGCTATTTGGATGAGGTGGAAAAATGGAACCACATCAACTGCACCAAAACCTTCACCTTTCTAGTATTAATGTATTTAACATTGTTATATAATATAGTTATACATACATCAATATTATATGCGCTGCAATGCAAATATCAACCCATGATTTGAAGTTCTCATGTAAACAATGTTAATATATACAAATATCTGCTCGTGGTTGGATTTTTATTCGTCATAGCTAGGTCTTAATTAGTCTAACATACACCTTGTTCAACTCAGATATATCACCAGAGCAGAAATAACTGAGAAACCTATAGCATTTGCATTGTACATCTGTTAACTTGTTTTCTTTTTTCCTTTTCACGGGTGTTGATGTTTTAAAAACAGCCTGTGATTGTCACAGAAAACGTAACCCTACTTCCTGCGATGTTCATGAACTTCAACCACTGTTTCTTTTTCCCCTCCCAACCCTAACTTTTCTGACCAAATCAAGCTTTAGGCTTACATTTTGTCCGTGATAAACGACTGACTTTAGGAAAAACGCTCTTTTTGTCAAGTTTGATGTGTACTTCTGAGATGCATATACATAAAATTGGTATGCGGCAATGATGAAATAATAAACTTGATATATTGTAAAAAATATACTATTTTTCTAGTTAAACATGTTTTTTTTAATCGAATCCTCCCTCCATTTAAACATACACAAACAAGTCTAGAATATTATTATCATTACCTAGATGATGGCCTTTGTTTTTCTGAATGAAACGCTGAATAAGCAAATCAAATCCATGCGAACTTGGACAAAGGTGTCATGTATTACCAGAATCAGTGACATGGAAACTTGAAATTATAAAAGTATTCTTGAAGCTCTAACAAATAATAAAATAATATTATTGGAACTGGGAATTCATCTCTTTTTGTTCCTTTAACTTTCTTTAAATGGTTGGATTTATGTCCAGAGTTACTTGACTGGCCGGTTTCTTAAAGTTTGAGCCAATTTGGAATGCCAAGGTCCATGTCTGCATTTTGGTGTCACAATTATCTGACGAAGCTATTCCGTTATTCCGATCACTTCTTGATGAAGACATGTATGTATGATGCATATACACATACAAAAAGTAACACATGATGGACGCTACAAATTCAGGAGGCTTTTTCACTGTGCCCCATTTGGGTTTTTTAAGCATCAAATGCCATCCATCATTCACAAATTATCAATTTTTTTTATTGTATGAATTTGGTTTGGGGTGGCTGAATTCAGCCAAGTTTTTCATTTTTCTAATTCAAATCCAATATTTTTACTTTTAATATTTTGTAACTTATCATTCTTAAAATTATTTATATATTGTCTGTAACATTATATTACATTCCAAATTTTATATAACTAAATAAAATTGTACAGCTGTAACATCGTGAATTGAAAATAATGAATATTGACAATTATGGTAAATAATTAATTAAACAAAAACAAAAATAATTAATTATATAGTTTCACCTTAAATCAAATCCTCCTTCACTGTGTTTGAAGTATTATTTTTTAAAATAATTTCACGTCCCAACATTGAACAATAACTAAAATAATAATAAAATATTGTTGTTGGAAATGTATACCAGTAATTAGTTGGATTGATTTTTAGTCATCTCATATAAATTTTCAATTTTTTTAATGTCTAGTTAACTAGTCCTATGCAAATGAAGTTTAAGGTTCTCTTAACTATAACTGTCACTTCTTTAAATAATGACATTTTTATTAAAATAATTCCAAATAAATATATTATTAATTAATTTTAGAACAAATAAATAATATTTGATTAATATGTGAAACTATTATTCACTTAGTCATCAATTAGATAAAAGTGATACTCATACCAATAATTAACATGATATAAAACAATATCATTCGGTTTAAAAATTTATGACTAAAAAATCATAATGGAATGGACGATAGCAAATATATATGTGATGATGGGTTCCTCAATATGATGCTTGCCTTTGATGTACTCCTAATAAAACGATAAATGATTCATAAAAGGCTGAACATGTATAAATAGTTCATAAATAATAATAATAAAAATTATAAAATTGGATAATAATTTTTTTAATTAAAATAAAAATAATAAAAAGTACCATGTTAACTGTAAATATTTTTATGTAAATTTAGACATACATCTAAGAGGTTAAATATACAATCAACAAATAAAACAATGAAAATAATATATTTTCTATATATAAATTAAATAAAATGATTTTGTTGATTGTGAAATTCTCACCTTCAATACTTATTCTATTTTCTAAAGATTTAACAGCACCTCAGAAACATGATTTACAAAATTTTGAAAGTTGGGTTAGAGACTAAAATGATGGTTATTATACAATTTAAAGAATTGTTTGATAGCTATATTTATTCTATAAATTAGTTTGTTATCCTATTATAATTTTAGGAACTAAATTAATTCATAAATTTTTCAGAGACCATTTGTTAGTTTATTAATTTTGAGGACCCATTCTAGTATAAAAGCAGACAAACTACTACAAAAGTGTTAAAACGTTTTTCTTTTTCATCATTAAACGAGTAATTTATCTTCGACTCTCGATCCTTACACGAGTAATTAATCTTTGATGGTAAGAAATATTGTATTAGAAGAAAATAGGTAATAAAAAGTATATTTTTCTAGAAAAATATTAAAGATTCGTTGTAATATGTTTTACGTGTGTTAACATGATATGTGATACTGTTCGCTTATCTTTATCATTCAATAAAACATAATATCTCTTAAACTGTATTCAATATCATCTTGTATGCATTTATTTTATAATTATCGTGACAATTTTAAAATATATTATGTATTAGAATATTAAAATGAAATAATAATGATTAAATATTTTTTAAGATATTAATTATAATTTTAAAATATTACATAATTTTTAAAAGTCATATTTAGAAAATTATGTTTACTTTTCATGGAAAATGAACATTTAAACATAATTTATATTATATCCTTAATTTGTTATCTCGTGTACATCAAATACTAATCCTATTATAGTAAAATAACTTGGACGATCATACTAAAATAATTTTCTATTCAGTTATAAAATTATCCACCATTAAACACAGAAAAAAAAAATGTTGTGGCAGCCGAACATAAGGCTTTGATTTCTAAAGCAATTCTGGCCGAAGAAATAAAAAAGTGATTGAATTGGTCCGAAGGTTGATGTGAAAAAGAAAAAAGGACACGCATGAAAAAGGAACCAAAATCTTAGAGACGATTAAAAGCCTTGACCTGAGTTAAGGTCTGTACATTTGGATCGGGGCGTAATCATAAAAACATATTCTGTCCACATCCACACGCAACTAGAAGACGTTAAGCATTGGGTGTAATTTTTCCTATGCAACGAGCTTTTGAACGAGTCCTGCAGTACTTGGACTCTGTTAATAATGCTAATGATACGGCAGCACCTAACTAAAAATTTCGTATATGGATAATAAGACATTTGATGTGAAAACTCTAGCATACTTTAATAGTGAAATTGGGTATTTTTCCCCAAAAAAATGGTAATATAGGTGGGTAGTTTCGACTAATCCAACAGGGCGCATAACGTCGCCCTGATTGTTTAATTTTAACCCCTTGGGTGAATTGATAAATCAACAGTTCAAGGGAGGGAAATTCACACAGCTCCCTGCTCAAAAGGAACCCGTACAAATAGTCGACCATGCAAACTAACAACAGCGGATGTCTGAAGCGGGTCAATTCTTGCAGGTAAGTTCACTACCTGAAAAAGCATCATAGTTCAGTCGATCACTTTCAGCTAAGATGCTACGTCCTAACTTACTCTCAACGTAATATACTCCTGAAAACATACCAAGATCTCTGTTAAGAAAAAGTAACTTTACCTTTTTGAAGGGGGTAATTCCCCATGGATTGTCAATGTGTTCTGGTAGACCAGTTATAACGAGACGTCCAACTGGATCTGATTGGACTCGCACCTGGATTTGTTATAACCAGTCAACAATGAAAGTAGAACCCCAACGAAGCCATAATCAATCACACAGCAAAATACTCTTTTAAAGTGAGTTTGCTTCTACAATGAGCAAACAATGTTGTATTCGCTCTTTAGAAGTTGGATTATTTAATGGGGTATGATCTCGGTGCATTTCATAAAATTAATGATTAATACAGAAGAACCTTTTGCAATCATTATATATAAGTAGTTTTAATTTTTGTCACGAAAAATGAAGTCAAATTATCCCAAACATTTATAAAAAGCTATCTTGGCAGAATTTTTGTCATCGCAAAAAGGCATCCAAAAACAGCCGGTAGTAGAAATTGTAAACAGTTACGCTTAAGAAACAACCTAAGATACAATTGAATAAATTCAAGGATTAAATAATTATTTTTATCAAGTGTCGTTGTTAGATAACTAAAGAATCAGAATTTGAAAGTTAAACTTGCATATGTTTCACCAAACAGATTAAAGTACCCAAATAACAAGCCAATTTTTCCTAAGAAAATAAAGTCAAGGAGCCATGGCACTTACCTCCTCACGAAGTAGCCCAGGAACTAGGGCATATACCTCAAAACAATCCTTCTAGACATGGATACAGAAAACAGAAAAATATTAGGTATTAAAATTTATTAACAGGATAGAAGATATGGCATTGTGATACATAAAAATCAATTAGATAAATAATAAAACCAAACTGACTTACAGTTTCTCGCACATTGATCTTCACCCAGTCAGCTGGGGGTCCAATGTCCACCACTGCTGTGACCAATCTAACAGATGAAAAACACGATTAGCCTTGATTTATTACACATACTGAAACTTTGAACAAATATCACTGCATATGTATCTTTTTCAGATTGAAAGTAGGGGTTTTAAGTGCTTGAGTTGAATGGGGAATCAGTCAATATAAGAGGAATCCTCACTGACATCGAGAAAATGCCAAAAGGATCTCCCAGGGCATATTCTCTTCTTCAGTTTGTCTGCTGTCTTTTGGCTGACAAAACCTTAGGTAGGAAAGACGAAAATATAGAAACCTTCAGGGAAAAAGGATTCATATATCTCCAAGGACTTGTATAAGATATGTTTAGAGTAGTATTAAGATAAACTTGTATACACATTAAAAAAAAGTATTAATTTGCTCCAAAGCTTTGCCTTTCTCTATTCACGACATAATCTATTTAAATGAGTAACATTGTCATTATGATCAAATATAACTTGATTACAAATCTCAAAAATCACAAAAGCAAAAAGAATCATAAACCCAAGCATTGATGCCATCTTTACATCTCAATGATCAACCATAAACATGCATAACATATTTTGAATATACATCAACATTTACATCTGATAAGAAAGAATTAAACTTTATATTTGGAAAGTATACGCCCATCTATACTAAGAAATGACTCTAATATCAGTGGAGTAATAAGAATATTAAACATGTATTTAATGGGTAACTTATTACTCAAATAACTTATCATTATTAAATTAATTAAATTATACCACTTTTAAAAAAAATTACCCTTATTTCTTATTTATTTCTACTTCACTAGATAATTAATATTCAATTTTATTTTTATTTAAATTCTCTTAACTGAAGTCACATTTTCACAAATCTATTGATTGAAACTGAGCTTTGATTTTATAAATATATCATCTTATTTTTTATTTATATTCCTAAATATAAAAAAAATTTCATTCCATTTTTATTAACGTTTTTAAAAGCAAGAGATAAATAAAATATTATAATAAGCATTTATGAACTAAAAATTTGTGTGTGGTTTTATGACTACTTCCATGAAAGAGGAAAATTAAAAATTTATGGAAAAAATATAATTTTTATTTCAAAATTCTAGCATTATTAAAGTATTTCATAAAATAAATAAAAGATAAAAAATAAACAATAAAATTATAATTTTCTGTATTTTTAAATAAATAACAAAATATCATAAATAAACATTTGTACTAATGATCATTTGCACATAGCACATTATATTATTATAAATGTTTGTTGGTTTTATGAAACTAGTGATCCAAAAACATATTTTGGATTGAAAAATCCAAAAAAATATTAAATGAATGTATCCAAAAATATATAATATTTGTAGGTTCCAAATCATAAAATTCGGTATATAATTTTACCGTTCCGAAAAGATTAATCCGGAAAGTAAAATCTGAAAATAATTTTTCACATATATGATTTAAGTTCCGGATTCACTTTTGCATCATGAAATTTCCAGGAATTTTCCAGATTGACCTGTACGGAAACTTTTCAGTCAATCCAAAATATTTTCGAAAACTCATTCCATGGGTGCAGGAAGAATGTGCCCTCACTAAAAAGAGGTTAGTTTAGGAGTGGGCTGAGACTGATCCAGGGGTCTCGGGTCAAATTGATAGGTCTACTAACTTGTCCTGGTTAATTCCTCATTTTATTTTGCTGAAAACCGATGAATCTAATAGAAAAAAGACAGTTAATTAACTCAACAGTAATGGTTACTTCAAGAGCAAGTGGTGGGTGGCCAAAACCAAGAATTAAAAGATTGTGGATGGAGAAGCCAACAGTGATTCAGTAATCATGAATCTATGCACAGGACTACAGGTCAATTAACAGAAAAGACCAGTAACTTAACTGCCTATCTCCTTCAATATTTGCAGCTTTCTCAGTATGTTCCATACCAGCTGGCGTCCTCTGTTTATTAATCATACCTAATTCATTGAAGCATAAATTAATGAGATAGCTATCAATTTAGAGAAAGTCGGTGATGTTTGTAGTGAGCATACCAATACTTTTTAGGTTCTTTTCACGCTTTGGTGTGGAACTGAAGTTCTTGTCCTGTGCAAGAAAAGACAAACACACCAGTAGTAAGAACATTGCTATAGAAGAGTTCCGGAGAACAACAAAATGATACAAAGGATAAGAATGTAAATTTTAAAGGTCACGACAGACCTTAATAACTGGCTCAGCAACCTCACCATATCCAAGAAGGCGTTGAGCATGCCAACCTTGCATTGCCCGGGCTGCGGCATCCCTTCGTGCCCTACCTGAGCCTGGAGCTTGGTAAACAGCAGTCTGAAAAAAGAAACTCATTATTTGATTGATATATATACAAACTGTAGAGGTTGAAATGCTGATACATAATTCCATTTCATGTCTCAAATGCTCTTTTCTGTAAACTTTCAGCACTCTACTTGCTTATAATTTTGCTGTACAGAACCAGAAGCAACAGGCGTCCTCTTATGATCCCAGACTAGATAGAGGTCACACAAATTGAGGACCTAGGGAATTGGAGGCTCAGAAGTCAGAACATCCCTTCCATATTTGATAGAATCACCAACAATGGTTGCAATTCTGTTGGCAACTATTTTGGTTTCTCCCTTACATTTTTTTAAATTAATTAGTATGATAGGTTAGCTTTTCTTGATGGAAAACTTATGCGCCAAAAGTAATCAGCCACATCAACGATAAAAAATACCTCAATCAGCCACATCATTGGTTTCCTTAATTTTCTAAATAATTCTACTCAATAGAAAACCTAGGGATTTACAATATTTCTTTTGTGTCATAAACAACCATAAAAACTTGATGTTTTTATTCCAGCAGCCATTTTTGTTCAAAGCCAGTATACACTTCACACCTCAACTTTCGTGTCTCTAGCAAATAGGAGCATAACTAACAAAAGTAGGAGCTTTATTCAAAGTTCACATGACAAAGGAAAACAACAGATGGTTTCATATAAGAAAAGTGGTGATGATCTTATATAATAAAAGTAATCTTCTCATGAGCTTGAATCAATGAACGCTATACAAACCTCTTTTTCCACATTTGAAGATTGATGGAATGATCCAACAGGGAGCTGTAGCTCCCCAGTCTCTCTCTTATGCTTTTCGTACTCCAAAAGTGCCTGTGCAAAATGAAAATTCAGGCACAAGGACCGCAGCAGATCATACAAATGACTGAAAAAGATAACAAAAATCACGGCTGAAATAACCTAAGGTAGAATAGCAGATAATGATGGAAAATCTTAGTTTTAGTATAATTGGCTTCCAGTCCTCTGACAAAGACAACACATCCCGTAGAAAGGACAAGTAGAGACCGTATACACACTTCCTATCTTCTTTTACATATAAAGACATAAAATAGACATCAATTCAAACTGAAACTGATGCTCATTGGTTATTTCAGAAAAGGAAGGAAAAATTAGCCCCTATTTCAATCATCAAAAGTTTCATTCCACTCTCATTTATCAATTATTACAATAACCAATATGAAGTCTTTCTAATAATTAGAGATAAGTCACTCCACCAGTTACCTTCTCATAAAAGATTCTAAATGTCCATGAGACTGTAGTGCATGTCCTGCGAGAAAAAGAAATAAATATAATAATGAGCAACATGATATATATTTTTTTTAAATTAATTGTTTAGAAAGAGTTTTTTTAAGCAAATGGTGGTCCATCTGTTAAGTTACAATCAAATATATAACAGACATGGCAATAACATTCCATATTAGAATTTCATTTCATATTTGATACTACATATGCCACATAGGATTGAATAATATTTAAATAACACAAACAATTTATAAGATTAAACTTTTTTAAAGGAACATATCATGACATGAAACTCAAAAGGATATCCATATACCAACCTTCCTGGGGTTTCCTAACATTGAAAACAGCAACCAAAGACTCAATTTCCTAGAGTTTTCCCATGAGATTAGGCATAGGATCTCTAACCACAGTGAAAAAGGCATCTGACAAAGGGGACCATTATTGGGGGATGTAATCAATGGACCAAAACTCACATGATGCAGATGCAGAGAATATGAAGTCTGGAAGAATGGATTTTAATCATAGCAGTTGGCAAGCATGGTAATAATCAAACGGAAAACATAGATTTTGCTTGGTAACTTACATAATGTTTCCCTCTAATGGACAAAAACTATGGCCTGCAATTGACTTTCAGCCAATCAATTCACCATGTCAAGGCCAGGAAAGCAATGGAAAAAGATTAATGATGAAGCAAGACACCCACATAAATTGGCTAAGCAATATTCTATAGTCAGGTGTAACAGATGTAGCAATTAGACTATACCTAAGGTAGGAAATAAGGTATGTCTATGACAAAGTTTATTCCTAATTTACCATGTTCTAACATGATAATTAAACAAGTCCAGCACCCTGAGCAATAAAGAAGAGGACAAAGAAGCAAAATAATTAAACAAGGGAAGGACATGGTGTTTGAGCCTCTAAAGAAGCAAAATAGTACTGAATATTCAGTACAGATCAAGTTTCTGCAGTCAATGACTTTGATGCACCATTTATAAGCAAGCAAGAAGCCAGCAATGTTGTTGCCACTCAAGAATCTTAGAGCAAAATGAGACAATCTGAAAAGACATCTGTCTCTTCTAGTGGACTATTTAGGTATTGAGGACTAGGTTTTGTAATGAACATAGCTTTATGGATTCATGGATTGATAGTGGTATTTTGTTTTTTGGTTCAGGACCGTGACTATTATTGAACTGTAGTGGTATCTGCTATTGGTATCTCCTATTTGGTTTTGCTAAAATTACTTCAATTTAGAACTAACTTCAGTCTTATTTTCAAGTGTTTCTTTGGGCACTTTAAACTGTAGAGGCATCTTCTATTTGGTTTTGCTAAAGTTAGTTCATATTGGTCTAATGATATGGTTCATAATCAGTTCAAACCTGGTTAACTTGGTATGTAATGTGGTTTACTGATATTTGATAGAAAATAGTTAGTTTACATTAATTTTGTCCTGATTTGATTCGTCATATGATCAATGGTATCGATTAGGGTTAATTTAGTACCAATATATGTTCAAAAACTGTGCTATGTGGAACTAATATATAGATATAGAGCTTCATGGTTTAGTCAAATCTAGGATTGAGCTGCACATGTTGACCCTGTATGGTTGGTATATACTGTCATTTTGGTATTTGACAAGCTTGTATGGTTAGCATTTACAGTCAACTACCACAAACCTCTGTCCCTGGAGCTATAAAATAACAAATAGCCAATTCTACATCCAAGAAAATTTTGCATAATATAGTTTCAGAATTTGATAATGATATTAAAGCCAATTCTACATGCATAGTGTAATGTACTCAAATTTGCAGAGTCTTATTACCAGCAAACCGTATGGATTTAGGTGATGGGTTTTGCTGTCACAACAACCTGTTATATGATGAGTTTTGCCATATTAGAAAACCTACTAGATGATGGGTAAGGTGTGCAAGAACTAAAGGGGAAAGGGTACATATTCACATCTTTCAACAAAAGATAGACAATCAACATCTTTTCCTCAATGCAGTGTGAATTACAGAGAAAGGTTCGGATAATTTGCTGTCACAACTGGTTGACATGTGCCAATGAATATGAGAATCACACACTTGATTTCTTCATTCATTCATTCAATTCTCAAGAACCTGAACAACCAAGGTTCAGAAACTCCAAAGCAATTCATATAGAAGATAGTTTCTATTTTCCAAATACAATCACACCTACTAATGTTTTCAGGAAATGCTATTACTAATAATTCCATATTTTAATTTTTGAATAATTTCTTCTGATGTGATGTATTGTGATTCGCTAATTAATCCAGATCAGCATAATGACCAGCCACACTGCAAAACTGTCAGCCACATCAACTAACTCTATTGACAATTGGATGGCATGTTAACAAGTGGTGGATACTTATAAGAATAGGGGGGACTTGATTGACTTTCAAGTTTTTAAGGGTATAACACATTACATGGTCGAACTACGGGAAGGGAGTCAAAATGTACCTAAGCATTTTACTTTTTAGAAAGTAAATTGTCCATGTTAATAAGAAACAGTTACAAGCTACTCAGAAGATTATAAAGAATTTATTAGCTATAATAAATAGCATAAATACAATATGATGAGGCAATGAAAGCTTAATAAGAACTACAAAACAATAGCATGTTCAAGCCTTACTTTGGGGGGTTGAAAGACTCTCCTACTTGTCGCCACAACTTGGATCCAGTTACCTACATATAATCAATAAGATCAACTTTGCAGCTATTGAATAACTGACAAAGGGCCTAAAAGATTTTAGCACCAACTAAAATAAAACTTATGGATGTTGACAAAAATAATGTAATTATAGTAATAATTGTAAATACAGCAGGTTATATGTTATGTTACATATGTAACTATGCCTCTTAACATAATTACATGCTCTGCTGCGTAATTTTAACAAATGGAATTCATCAAATATCTCTCATTCTCGGTCATTCTAAACATGATATCTAGAGCCCAACAAGAAGCAACCCAAATGTCAAAGTAAACATGTAATGGTATGTTCTGTTCCAAAATTTATAGTCAGTCAATCAAAATAAAGTTCCAGAGCAAAAACAAAATCTGGACCCACAAGCCAAAGCTGTTACTAGCTCTCCACAAGTCAGACCATAACTATTTGTACTTAGCCCTACGTATCTTTCAAAATTTTAAAAATATTTCATTATATGAATGACAAATCCTTAAAAGATTAGCTCTTTGAAAAGTTCACAAGAGGACTGAGGACCAAGTCAAAAAATGCTTGACTTCCACAGCATCAGTTCTATCTGTGCTACAAATCATCTGAGCAGCTTTGAGAATACTAACACTAGCTCGGCCATCAAACATCAAGAAAACATAACGGACAGCAATATTGAAGGCATAGCTACAGTATATCTGAGGTATCAGCTAAGCCATCAAACATATGGAAATCATGTCGATCGCCCATCTGGACATTTGGTAAAATGTTTAAATCTACATTTAGTGAAAACACCCCATTTATCTTATAAAAGATATGAATGGGATAGAACTATTAGCAATACGTTAACAACAACCTTGAGTTTGAAGTAAGCAATGTTATGCAAGAATTTAAGTCATGGCCTAAAGGCAATCAAAGAGATGATCTGTCAATAATAACATATAAGATTAATCCATACCACATCATAGCCACCAAGTCTGATAACAGCTCTCCACAACCTGCAGCCCATGGAAAAGTAAGGAATCCACTATCAGAACAGTAAAATAACACATTCAAATATCAAGGAGGAGGTCAGGCCCACTTAAACTAGCCTTTAGAATGCTTATGAGAAAGGGTTTACACACTTGCGTCACAGGGGATATACATACTTAAGGCAATTTAGTGGCTCTCCATAAAACTTAGGAGGCTTAAATTCCAAGGACCGTTCCCTGTAGAAATTCTCAAGCTCTTTCATAAATGTTTCTCGGTCCAGAGGCGTGCCATACTCATCATAATCAGTCATCTGTGCATGAAAGGCAAGATAAATAAAATGTAGAAAAGAGAAAAAAAAAAAAAAAAAAAGAAGCTCTGACATCTTCCTGGCAGTAAGTACCTCAGTATCATTTAGCACATTCTTCATTTCTCTAATGTTCTTTTCTTTAGGCTTTGGAGTGATCAGTTCTTGGTGCGAAACGGTCTTGGCATCTTCAGGCTCAAACTGATTCTCGCTAATTACGCTGGTCTCTGGCACAAGACTAGGATCAGAATCGCCGTTTTTGTTATCATCACCCTGTTCGACCATTACTTGATCCTGCTGTAGCTGAGCAGGGGAATTGTGAGTAGGGGAAGATGCCACACGCTGGCCATGCAAAGCCGCATCAACAACATCCATATCAGCAATGCCATGGGAATTACCCGTGGGTTTCTCACCATCCTCCATCTCTCAGCTTTATACTTGCACGCAGCAATCCTACACTCCACGTAAACACTAATTATATAATTAGCATCATCTCGTGACTCGTTCAACACTTACAACAAAGGAATGCAAATGGTTATAGAGAAAAATGTCGAAAATCCTAGCCCTAAACCAAAATAGTGTGCAACGATACGATTCTTAGTCATGGGGAAACAAACACGCATCGGATGTAAAAGCAGCGTACCTTAATTGGCGAGGAATAGGGAAACTGATCCACCGCTTGGCAAAATGGAGGGTTTTGGAATCGGCAATGGGAATTGCAGATTAAAATGCGAAGTGTGGAGATGAGTGTGTTCCTATTTTAGATATGAAATTCGAAACGGAATTAGAATGAATGGAGCAGAAACAGAAACGCTACAACAAGTTATGAAGAAAATCAAAAGTTACATCCACAATTTGCTCGCATGTATAGTCTCCGGATTCGGTTGAACGGGGGTTGAGACGCAATTATACAAACGCCGGTTAAGTTAAAAACGCGACACCTTCACCTTCACCTCCACTACTCGAGTCACCCACTCTCTACTACTACTATCGTTTTGTTTCCTCAATGTCAAAAGACTGTCTTACCCCTCTCTCCATATTTCTTTACATATATGTGGATAATATATTTTAATAGTCAACATAAATTCATTTTCTTTAAATAAAGAGAAATAAGTATTCAATTTCTCTAAATTTTATCCATTTATAAACTTATTTATTGCAAAAAATAAATACATTTTTAAAGTTAACTTTAAGTTCATTTTCTATAAATAAAAGGATACAACAATTTAATTCCTCTCAACTTTGTAAATTTTATAAAGTAGTAAGTAACTTGTTCATCCCACAAACTAAGTGTTTATAAGGTTAGAAACTAACCATGGAGGATTTGGATACTTATGCATCAAATTTAGTGATGAAGTCTCTTGAACTTCTTTCGATTATAATTTTAAAAAATTTAGAGGATATCATTTTTTTATACGTCATATAATCATATAAATGTACCCAAGTTGTAGTTTGTTAATATACTTTCCTTTTTTCTAAAACACTAAGTGGTTATGGCTTAACACTAAAATATTTTTAAATATATAAATTATATTTTATATTTACAATAAAAAATAAATTTAACATATCAATAATTTTTTTTGTTTTAGAAAACACTCAAATTCAATTCAAAAACATAAAGGTAAATTATAAAGTATGCTCAGTTGAAAAGATCGAATTTGAGATGACTCACAAATAATTTGTTTCCTAATTACTCAAATAGTGGGAGCACTCACCAAAGCAAAGATTGACATAATATGGAAAATATCTCATCAAGAGTCACAAGACTCAATCTCACTCTCTAAATTATGTTTTTTTTTTACAATAAATACACAGGTAAATATTTTAAAATTCAATCTCAGTTTAGTAATTTTCTGAATTAAAAATATGGTTAGCGTTTTAATTTTATATTAATTAATTAATCTTTGAATTTGACCTTCTTTACAAATAGTTATTTTTATTATAAGTTGAGAGATAAACTAATAATAGAAAAATATACTTTTTAAAACATTGAAACGATAAAAATAAAATTTAATCCATTAATTAATAAAATTGATAATATATATTTATAAAATAATAAAATTAAAAATTTGATGAAAATTTAAAGTTCACCTATTTATTTATTTATGTTTAAGAAAAGGTAGTAAAATTAAAGTGAATTGTTAATCTATTATTTCTTCTATAGTAATCTAGGTTTTATGTTTTAGAGTTTCTAGAATCCTATTTAAGAAAGTTTTCTTGTGACTTAGAATATTATATTTTGCAAAGAATGGAATGCATACTTGTTTTTTCTTCTCATTTGATTACAATTATCTAACTCTCTCTTCCAGGTTATCACATAATTTATTTCGGGTACCATATTCTTTATAGTATTGGGTTGAATATTTGTTATGCTTTCACTATCTTTTCTTTCTTTTTGGTGTTGGTATGCTCTCTTATTCAATGGAGTTAGGTGTCACATAAACAAAAAACACAATGAATCAATCTCTTAATCCTTCAAGTCCATATTATCTACAACCACGAGCAAACTCAAGCCTTAATCTTGTTTCTCAATCTTTAAATGAATCTAATTACTCTTCTTGGAGTAGAAATATGAAACGTGTTCTTTTGTCCAATAATAAACTCAAGTTCATTGATGGAAGCATAAAGACTCCCACAAGAAATGTTTTTATCTATGATGCATGAGAAAGATTGAATATGATAGTTCTTTCATAGATTGTCAAAAGTTTATCTCCTCAAATTGCTGAAAGTGTGATATATGTGGATAATGTTAATGATCTTTGGGATGAATTGAAAGAAAGATTTTCTAAGGGGGATTACTTTAAGATCTCTGACCTTCTCCAAGAAATACATTTCATCAAACAAGGTAAAGGAAACATAACCCAATATTTTACAGATTAGACAATTCTTTGGAAAGAATTAGAGTTCTTGAGGTCTATACTAGGTAATTTTTGTAATTGTGACTTAACTAAAATCTTTGTCAAATATAGATAAATAGAATATATCATTTGTTTCTTGAAAGGTTTAAATGAAATATACAATATTGTGAGAACATAAATTCTTCTTATGGAACCTCTTCCCAACATCAACCATGTGTTCTTCCTTATCATGCAACAAGAGAGACAACTTATTAGAAATGGAGGACTTACTAATGAGAGCAAAATAATGGTTAATACCACTGATAAGTAGAATAACTAGAGATAACAAGAACAAGGTTCTTGGAAAACACAAGGTCATGACAATAACTGGAGTAGCTGAGGGAGAAAAAGAGGAAGAAATCCAAATTAAGGGAAACAATGTTTTAACTGTCACAAAATGAATCACACAATGGATGAATGTTATTCTAAGCATGTATATCCACCATGATACAAACAAAAATGTGAATTCTCTAACACTAGTTAAGATAAAGTAAATTAGCATATTTGGAATAAAGACAATGCAAATCAACAAATATGCAATCTAAGCATGAATGATGACTCCTTGCAACTTAGAAATCACAATCCTAAAGAAGATATTTGTTCTCTCTCATCCCATAATAGATGCAAAGACTCTTAAAAGTGCTAGAAATTCCTGACAATTTGATCAAATAGTCAATCATGTTCAAAGAAATATGTTTGACTCATCTAAACCTAATAATCAGCAAGATAATCTTCCTTAAATCATTGATACTGGTGCCATAGATCATGTTACACATGTCAAAGATTATTTTGTCACTTTTTACAAAATTAATCATATTCATGTTAAATTGCCCAATGATTCTTTTATTATTGCCTATCATGTTGAGACTATATAAATTTTTAAAACCTTTATCATTTTTAATGTCCTATATATTCCTGAATTTTCTTTTAATCTAATCTCTATTCAAAGTCTTCTAAGATGTGTCAAATATAAAAATCGTTATACATTGAAGATGCTTGGGAATACTAACCTCTATAAAGGGTTGTATTACCTACAAGTTGTTCCTTCTATTCTTGATAAAAAAAACTTTGTCTTTGTTAATTCAACTGAGTTACACATAATTTGACATTGATTTATGACACTATAAATTAGGACATTATGAAAATAAAGTTGTTGAACAAATCTGTAAAAAAATTCCTTACATATAATCTTCCTTTAAAATTGTTTGTAATATTTGTCATTATGCTAAACAACACAAATTACCCTTTCCTCAAAGTACTACTTTTTCTCCTAATATCTTTGATATGGTTCATGCTTATATATGAGGACTTATTTCTATACCTTATGTTCATGGTCACAAGTATTTTTTTTTACTCTTGTTGATGATAATAGTAAATATACATGGGTTTTTCTTATACATGCTAAGAATGAAACTAGGACTTTACTGCTAAATTTTGTTGTGTACATTAAAAATCAATTCAAACATAGCATTAAAATTATTAGATTTGATAATGGTCTAAAATTTGAATACACTAAGTTATATGGTAGTTATGGTATTATTCATCAAAAAAGTTGCATTGAAACTCCTTAACAGAATTCTGGTGTTGAGTGAAAACATCAACACATTTTAAGTACAACCTGCAACCTGATTTTTCAATCTAATCTTCCTAAATCATATTGGTCTTATGTTGTTTCTCATGTTGTCCATTTGATTAATAGGTTACCTACGATTATCCTTGGTGGAAAAGTTCTATATGAGCTAACTCACAAAACACCACCTACATACTTGAACTTGAAAATCTTTGGTTGTTTATACTTCGCTTCCTTGAGAGCGATAGAAAAGAGTTTGATTCTAGAGCCGTAAAAGGTATTTTTCTTAGGTATAAGACTGAAATTAAAGGTTATATTCTTCTTGATATTAAAACAAGAGAGAATTTTATAAATAGAAAAGTTATTTTTTATGAAAATATTTTTTTATAAAAGTTAAAATAATGATTTTGAGTCTAACAAAGATAAAGAAAATAATCTTGATGTTTTCCTGTATGAATGTGAAACTAAAATTCAAAATCCCGTAACTAGTCCAAATAATGATACATCCATTAGAGAAGATCCAAGTCATTATTACAAAAAATAGTCACATTAATGAACCTGACTCTCTCGAAGATAAAGAAAGACGACAAAGTTGTAGGTGATCCAACAAAATTAGAAAAACAACTGCATACTTAAAAGATTATCACCATCAGGCATGACAACGGGGCAAAGTAGGGACGAATTTTGCCTCCCGATTCCCGTCCCCGCCCCGATCCCCGCTGGAATTAGAAATTAAGTCTCAATCTTTGTCCCCGTTGGATTTCGAGTTTCCCGCTCCGCCCCGTTTCCGTCTCATCCCTATCTCCGATATATATTATTTTAAAAAATAATTATATTTATAATAAATTAATTTTACTATTTTTATATATTTTTTATACATAAATAAATATTTATAATTTTACAATTTGTAATTATTATTAATTAAATATATATTATAATTTATTATATTTATATTA